AGGATAAAATAAAATGTTAAATATTCATTTCATCAACACGAAACATCTTATAAAACGGACAACATACGAACAGTGTCGTAGACACAATATTAAAAAAATATCATATTTTATCAGGATATTCTATATGCAGCCTTTTTTTCATTTACCTTCATCAAAATAAAAAAAAAGTATATTTGTTATCTTTCTTTGAATTTCATTTCCTTTCTTCTAACAAACAATTCGATATACAACCTGATAATGTTTCTTTTCTTAGAAAAATCATAATAAAAAGGATCGTACTGGGCTTTTTATTTTAACAAAACAGGAGTTTTCTGTAGAATAAAGTTGAAGAGAAAATAGAAAATTTAAAAGAAAAGACTCTCTTTTATATCGAGAGATTAGAAAAATTTGCATATATTACACCTGGACAACTCTGTATGTAAGGAAATTGTCATTGTATTAAGTCGTAAGGGTGTGCAGAATATATAATGTCTTGCATATATTATACTGTATCACAAATAAAACCTGTTCAAAACTAAACCTGAATAAAGCGGAAACCTGCCTAAAAAAACCTGTTCGAAACGTGCCAAATACAGTAAAACCTCTTAATCTCAGGTACCGAATATTTTTCCTGGTTTGGCAGGTTTCCGTTTTAATCAGGTTCCGTTTTTTACAGGTTTTACTGTATATGAAGTATGTAAGGTCTTGTATTTAATATATTATTATAAATATTGGATGAATTTAAATAAAAATTATAGAAAATATACATTTTTTATTTTTAAATTTAAAAATTATATTTAACTTTAATTAGAAAATATTTTTATTGCCAAAGTATCATAAACTGTTTAAATTTGCCAATTATTTATTTATTTAAAAAGTAAATAAATTGACGATTTTATTTATAAATTTCAACTTAATTAACTTATTTTTTAATTAGAAAAAAAAATAAATTTATTTTATTTGTTTTTTAATTAAGAAGTTAATTAATACTAAATAATTTTCATCATCTTTTCTTAATTTTTTCCTCTTTACTTATATAGTAAAAACCGGTGCTAAATGGAACCTGAATAAAACGGAAACCTGTCTAAGCGGAAAGAATTCTTCAAAATGCTTGTACTCAGCTAATAAACTATAAAATTAAGTATTTTTGAATAAGACTTACACTATAAATCCTCCATTTGGGATATTACAATTAATTCATAACTAAACGCTTAAAGTATGTTTACTTGGACTCTTCATCCCACAGTTCAAACAGAAAAAAAAAAACATCGTAAATCATTTATTTTTGTTAATATTTAAATAAATATAATAAATATAATATAAATATTCTTCGATCCATTAAACACAACTGCTAAGTTTTATGGATAAATCGCAGAAATTTTGAATTTTTATGATTTATCTACGGAGCGCTTTAAAAGAAAAACGAGATGAGCGATGGAAGGAAAACATTTTTATATAATTATTTGCCTGAAAAAATAAATTTATATTTGTTCTTCCAAACAGCAATCCATCCAAAATTACTTTTTACATATTATTCCTTTAAAAAATCGGTAAATTTTCTTGGAATTTGTAGAATAAAATCGAATTTTAACTTAGATATATTTAGTTATTTTCGCTGTAAATTATGCAAATTATGGAATAATAATTTGTAGAATGAAGAGAATAACGAATAATTTATAATATTTATCATTTTATATAGTTTACTGTCATGTAAATTTGGTAAAATTATGATAACATTGTAGATGTTTAAGTGATATCTACTACATGCATAAATAATAGCGTGGAAAGTAAGGAGAAAAATTTCTACTCCTCATAAATAATTAAATTACGAATTTTTAATTAAATAATCAAGAAGAATGAAGTTTATATTATGTTTATAACTTTTCAAACTCTATAAAAAACTCTAAAATGTAAGAGAAAAATTTAGTTTTATGGTGTAAAAGCTTGAAAATTTTAAGCGCATTCGAACCCTTTTTTGCTCGTCTTCAAAGTCGAAAAAAAATCAAATTCTGAGTAGTTTTGCTTGAAAAATATTTAAATTTATGAGTTTTGGAACAAATTAAGCTTTGAAGATTAATAGAAAAAGCGAAATTCTAAAATTTGTTGGATATTTTTTTTTTAGAAAGAAATTTACGAAGCTATAATGGGCATAAAAATAACATATTTTTGTTAATTTATTCATGTTTTAGCATCAAATAACTGTTACAAAATCGAAAAATGAATTTAAATTATTGTGTTTTGCGAAAATAAAGAGAAAATTTCAGTGTAAAAGCACTAGTTCCTTATTCTTAAAGCATATTCTGAAGGTATAAAGCATAGTTTGTAGTACTTAAGTATCAAATTTTCGCTCCATAACGGGATATTTTCATAATTGACAAATTCAGAAAAAATCGAAAAATTTTCTGCAATTTTTAATTTATTTAATTTAAAATATATGCTCTGCACCATAAATTAGTAGTGGCTTGCCCCTGTACATCATACTTTTACTTTAACAATAGATTCATCTATCTATCTACCTTTCGGGGGAAATAAATTGAATTGAAATCACATGACTTCCGGTTTGCACTGAAAGTTCTATATAGTTAATCGGGGCCTTCCCCTTCTATTTTTTCCATATCTAGTTTCGACTTTCATCTATCTAACCCCGTTCTATAGATTAAGGAAAGACAGACAGCGAAAATTTATTGCAATTTAATTCTTTCAAATTACAGCCCAAAACCTGCTTAAACGGACATTAAATTTAGTTACGGATACGATTTCCTGTATCTAACACCTTTATAAGCTGGTAAATTGTCTAATGCGAACACCGAAAATTTATTTGGGAATAATTTCATATAATAACCGGATTAAAGCAGAATTTTTCGGTTTAACAGCAATTAAATTCTGGATCGAAATTAACCTGCGAAACGGGAAATATTATCGTAACCTCACGTTCCGTCTTAAACAGGTTTTTACTATTCCATTACAAAAAGAAAAATAATCTCTTTAAAATCAGTTAAAGTCTTAGGAGCCGTAGATTGGGTTTAAAACGTGTTATTTTACAAAATTAGTGGAAAAATGACAAGAAATACAATTAAATTAACTGTATTTTTAATTAGTTAATTAAAATTTACCCTCTACTAAATTGTCTATTGACTTTTGGACCCTTCCGTTTACACATATATACGTTATAGGATAAAATTTATAAATTTCAGACCTATAAATTCCTGAAGATTAATTTAGTTGTTAGTTAAAATTTCCAGTTAAATGAAAATTTTCCTGTAAACCACCCTGCAAAATTTTCAAGTGGGTAAACAAAATCGTTCCCTGCCACATGCACTAATATCTACACATATAGAAAAAGATCCAGCAACGAGTTGCTTAACTTTCCCGGAAACATTTCAAACTACGTGTGGAGTCATCTGTTACGATATTTTATTTAAATACTTTGTATGTTTTTAATTATAATAAAATGGCAAAAAGCTTAATTTTGAAGGTAGAGATGGGTTTTACAAAAATTTGTAAATGCTAATAACGAGCAAAATCTTCATTAAACCCGACTCTACTCGAAATATAAGAAATGACCTCCCTTTATTTCCCAAACCTGTTGACCTTTAACCACCAAAATTTACCAGCATTAATTTCTCTAATACGCAAAACTCCCTGTAAAATTTCAGAAATTTTCGACAAAAAGTACAGGAGTTATTAATCTTCGAAGAGGATGAACAAAATCGTGCCCCTCCAAACACACGCACTAATACTGTATCCATACATACAGAAGAAATCCCCGAATTTTAGTTTGCATTTCTCAATGTTTCAGGTCCCCTCAATCTAAACATGTAAAAATCTTGAGAATGGGGTCATTTTTTGATCAATCGCAAAACTTCCTATCTGTTATATATAACAGCCGGGAAAAAAATAAAAATACAATAATAACGAATTATTTTAACTGTATGTGTTTTCGACAAATTATATATTTCATTTGTCCTTGATTGCCTGTTGTTCTCTTTTTAATTGTTAGTAGTATATACTTCGAATAAACTCTCCAATTCAAGCTGTGATAATTTCTGCATTCAGAAAGTTTGCAAAAGATCTATTTTTTTAATAATAAAGGTACAAAAATGTAAAGGTAAAACCTTGGAAAACACTACCTTATGCGACTGTGAATATAAACATCAGTAAATGCGCGTGGATGAGTATTTATTTATTCCCGTCCACAGCGTGATTTTTTTTATCCTACGTGTAATATTCTAATTTTTTAATTATTAATTTTCTCGCTCTGTTATATATAAACAGAGGGAAAGGATGGCTATCGGTCAAAAAATAGCCCTACAAGAGTTTTACATTTTTGGACTCGGAGAACCTCGAAACGTCGTGAATGTTGGGGGGTTTGTGTGTATGAATGTTAGTGTATGTGCTGAGCACTTTACTTTTTTTTGTTTCTATTTTTATATTTTATTACTTTTTATATAGGCTATCTGCTTTTTTTGTGTCATCAACGATCTTCAATGTATATCTTGTACAGCATTCCCGATTGTGCCTAGCGGTGTCGAGATCTAATAAAGGTTATTTGTCTGTCTTTGTTCACCCTCTTTGCAGCTTAATAACGCTGTGCTTTTTGGGAATTTCCAAAATTTCTGAAATTTTGCAGGTAGGTTTGCTTGTTAGCAGGGTTGATGCGGTTAAATTTTAGTGGTTAAAAGTGAATGGGTGGGGAGATAAAGGGGAGTCGTGTGTCTCGATGAAAGTCAGACTTAATGAAGACTTTACTAGTTATTAGCATTTAAAACTTTTTTTTTTTATAAAACCCATCCCTACCCCGAAAATTAAGCTTTTTGCCATTTTATAATAATTAAAAATATAAACATTTTTAAATAAAACGTCGTAACAGATGGCGCCACTGAAATTTTTAATGTTGCCAGGAAAGTTAAGCAACTCTGCTGGATGTTTTTAAAATATTGCTTCTATTAGCGCTTCTAACTTAATTTATAAAAGATACTGAAGAAGATATCGCTTTCACGCTATTCATATCGAAACAATATAAACTAATTTCTTATTTAAAGCTTAAAAATACTTACTAGATTACCACCGAACGATGACAGGATATAAATTAAACCAATTCTAACGCAACCAATCATTTCTTCCAGTGGCCTTCCGATAATCCATTGCAAAATTGAAACCAGAAAATAATGTATAAATCCCGCGTGATAGAAAACCGGTAGTATAAATCTCCAACTTTGTCTAATGCCGGTTGGTATGAAAGAGATTCCCTTTTCAGGATAAGTAATTCCGAAAGAACCACAAAATGATGCAAAACAGTTCACCTAATAAGCAAAATACAATTATTATTATTTAGAATTATGCTTCGAAAGCTTTTAGAATATACATATATATGTACAGTACCTCCATGCAGTGATCTTTATGTGGATGCCATCTTCCATGCAAGAATTGGCATTCGATTTCATTAGTAAGAAAGCATTTACCTAGTAAACCGTAGCAGCATGGTTTTAGCACGTGCTTCATACGGGAGTATATAACAGAAGTACATCTTGTTACATCCCATGTTGCACCGTCTGTAATATAATCAACAAAATGTTCGTATTATAGTTACAGAACACTTCCTTCATATTTTATGTACTAACTTAAAATGAGACATAAAAGACGAACGAAATGCATACTAATAGAGACAGCTTCTTCACACTATACATACTGAAAGGGATACATGATGCATACTGGAGACACCCCCTTTCACATGATGAACACTGAAACGACACGCATTCTGAAGGAGACAGCTTTTTCATACTATGCCTTATGAAGGGGACACTCCTTCACATGAAGCATACTGAAACAACACGAACAATGGAGATATCCCCAATCACATAACGCATATTGAAAACATCACCCTTCACATGACACATACTAGAGACAACCCCTTCACAGGATGCATACTAAAACGACGCGCACACTGAAGGAGAAATCCCCTCTCACACTATGTATATTAAAACGCCACGCAATATTGATTAATAAATAAAAATTAAATTCTTCCAGACGAACCGTCGAATAATATAAATAATTTTTTTTATGTATTATAAGATTTAAAATAAAAAAAGTAAAAAAAAACAGAATTTTTAATAAATTAATTCATTCAAAGAAATTTTTTATGTAAATGTCAAAATCTTAAAAAAAACACAACGAAAAAAGATCTGCAATTTAATTTAAAGCTAAAAATCAATTTGATAAGCGTATTTCTTAGAAGGAATCGCTAGAATAATTCAAGAATTTTTATTGTTCTTTCATAAAAAAAAACAGATCTCAATAAAGTTAGAATTTCAATAATATTTTTCGAGTTAATTTTTTACCCAAACGGCTAAATATACACACGCAGACAGACCCTTTTCGATATTTTAAGGAAGTAAAACAATTTTCGAATATTGTTAGTTGTTTTTCTTGTGTAAAAATACAATTTATTAAATTGTACATAATGATAAACCTTACCGTCACTTAAATATTTACACTCGTTCTCGGTTGTTGTCGCTGCTATTTTCCTTAAATCGTTGTAGCAACATCCAAGAGGATCAGATACAGAAAATCCTTGTTTCAATAGATCGTGGATGATAGTAGCATCCTTTCTCATGCAAGGTGTATACACAGCGCCGTGTTCTAGTGATAAAATGTATTTAAAACATTAATGAAAAGTAAATTTTATATAAATTTCATTATATAAAAGTTTTAAGCATTTGAAAAAATTCTAGACCTATAAATTCCAACTGCCTTTAAGTGGAGTAAATGTATGCCAATTATAATGAGGGAAGGGAAAAAAATAATTTTTTTTTTTCAAAATCTCATGTTGTTTTTAATAAAGACCTGTGCTTGAACACTTCATTTTTATTTAGACTTAAGCACAGATCATTCCTATGTTTAAATTCAATGAAGTTCATCTCTGTTAAGAGAAAGAGCTGTACTTAAACTTCGATAAAACTCCTATCTAAATATATTTAAATGCAACGAACAGACAAACGAATGGTTTATCACATTATATATAAGAACATCCTGAAAACCAGTTATAATCAAATAAAAATTGTATAAAATCTAGCAAAATATCTATCGAGACCATTCCTGTAATTTGAATTAATTTATGTGCAGAATTATTCTAAATTTCAAGTAAATTTAGGGGGAGGAAGGAAATAATTCTTAGAATGAATAGTAAATAAATGTATAGCTTCAAGTATAAAATAAAATAATACTTTTGGAGACTTATTGTTAGCACTTTTCAATTATAATTACTTTACATTGCAGTAAATTAATTTCATAAAAGGGAATTATGTAATGGTTTGTTACTAATTAAATATTTTAAATTCAGATATTTCTATACATATAATGCTTTTTTGTTAAAATTGTGAATGAATTTTCTACTTTTAAAATGTAATTGTCTCCTGTTTTACTTGTAACGTTAATTAATTATTTTCGACGAAAGATTCCTGATTACCTTTTCGAAATACACAAAAAGAGGATTAATAAGTTAATCTTTTGTAATATTTTTACTAAATTTCTCGATAGTTCAAGCTAAATTAACTGGTCATTTTTAATGGAGATTAACTTCTAAATTTATTTTCATAAAAAAAAACTATTCATTACAGTGGTTATTTATTATTAAATATTGAAATTTTAATTATATTAAAGGAGTTTTTAAGTCGCAAACAAGACTTCAGATGCATTGTCTTATTAATTAATACAATTTTAGTAGTAAATAATTTATGAGAAGCCTGTAACAAATTATTCTTAAAGGCTATATATATTACAATGATGATATGAAAGATATTTCATGTGCAGTTATCCAAATATGTATAAAATACTCTTTGGGTTATATTTATGTAATAGTTGACGTTTTTTGCATTGTCTTGACATCAATAATTATGCAAGTTTATATCAACATGGGTTTAAAATTCTCTCTGTATTTTCTTTCTATCTTCANCGGTCAAGATAGACACTTCGTATATAGTTAATCCTTCTGCCCCTAAGCTTTTTATATATGCTCTCGATTTTTATCCATTTAACTCCGTTCTGGATGGACGGACAGACAATAATGGGAATACAGTCGACCCCCCTATAACACGGTAGATACGTTCCGGTTTTTATGAATCCATTTTCTACGAGTCCAGCCAATCACAGCCCGGCACGTATGCAGTTTATGGACTACGGCTGTTTGAAAGGTTTCTTCCATAAAATTAATCGATTTTAGACTAATTCGACTCAACATTTCCAAAATACGTATAATTTCTTGGGAATAATCCATATAAACTATGCTATAAACAAAAAAAATTATAGGATTATTTAGCGAGTGTGCACCGTTCGACTATGCCATTGCTTAAGCTTGTTTTCGTCGTGGAGCTTGTCATCGAATGGCGCTCGCGTGCTTCTTGATAAATTTTTTTGCGAAAAATTCGCTGAACTTTGGAGACATCATTAATATAAATTTTTAGTAGTTTTAGTAGATCCGCTGCTCGTTTAAACTCGACGGTTTGTACAATATCCGCTATTGTCTAGATTCGACCAATCTTGTCGCGACACGAGTCGGCGATGACGTTTTACCGAATTATAGGAGTTTTTTTAGCGTGTTTGTACGAATACTGTCGCAATTTTGTCGCCGTGATATAGGAATCCGAACTCTATGAACCCGTGTTATAGGGGGGTCTACTGTATATAAGTCTGCAACCTGAAAATCGCGTAAATCGGGTGTAAAATTTGAAGGCTATGAACATTTGACTTTATTCGGAATGTTTAAAATTACAGATTAAAATGCCATTTTAAGGTTGGTCTTCGTTACTTATTGTGTTTTGTTTTGTGTATTTTCATGTAAGGCGCTTCTAGAAAAAGTTTTTGAACTAAATTTTTTGCATAGTCTGTGTACAAACTTTGGTGCTAATCAGCTAAAAAGTGCTCTGAATAGAGAACCTTTAATTAAGGACCCTCCTGTATATGAGATTATATATTATTGTATGTAATAAGATCATTTTGGTATGTTCTATGTGCTTCTGATGTTTTTTCCTTTCAAATTACTCAACTTAAAATTTTATTTTAAAATAAAAAAAGTTAAAAAAAATTATCGCCAATTTTCTAAATTAATTTATTCAATTAATCATTAAAAAGTCTGTAAGATATTTTTTTTTCTATCTAAAATAGAAATTATTAGCCTATATCAATAATCGATTTATAAAGCAGTTAAATCGATTTTTAGTATCGATTTTAACGTTATAAAATCCATACTTTGATATAATAAAAATACAATTTTCCAAAAAATTTGGACACAAAAATTGGATTTTCAAAAATTCCAAGTTTTTATAAAATTCTTCGAAGTTTTGTGCCCCTTTCTTGGTATTTTATATATATATATACCAACCGCCATACTTTCCCTCTGTTATATATAACAGTCGGGAAAGTAAAAATAGAAGTTATTTATATATTAAATATTCGGGAATAATTTACAAATTATTCATTATTAATATTCTAGTGAGAGGCGGCATTCACTGAAGTGTTAAGTATTGAGATGAAGAACAGTAAAAATGAAGTAATCCATATTGAATATTGAGATAAAAAATAGTAGTGGGCACTACAAGTGAGGTAATCACTAAACTTTTCTCTTCTCTTATCTTCAATTTACTTTTACATAATGAAAAAAAAATGTATCAGCGTATAGAAGAAGTATGTAACTACTTTAAATGAAGTTCTTAAAAGTTTAAAACAAAAGAATAGTTGTATTATGCAATAGGATTAGAATGGAGATTAGAAAAGTATATTATACATGCAAAGTTTGTATAGCGCTTTAAATCCATCCCATGAATAGCAAAGTAAGTGGATCTGTAGTAACAGATAAGTTGAATGTACAAAAATCCTCTTTTTTGCTCTGTTCTCTAACCATAAAGTGGAATTTTTCCCTGATATTTAAAACCACTTCCTTGGAATAGACTATAATATCATTTTTTTACATAATCTGTTTAAGATAAAACTCTGATTTAAATATTATTTGACATTTAAAACTAAGATTAAATCCTCAGTAAAAACAAAAAATCGATAAAAAAATGTATAATAATAATACACATAAATATTCATGGAGAATTAAGAGTTAATGCTTAACGAATGAATTTTATTAATGTATAATGAAATTTCTACATAAATAACTTTTAAAATGATTATGTAACGGTATAAATTACGAATAAATTTTTAAGGAGTGTAAGTAGTACTGTCCAAATCAAAGGTATGGTTACACATGGTACTGGTGTAAGCGATGCAACTGAATTTGTGGCAAGATGTACAGAAATTGGTATCGTGTATGACATAAAATGCAATAAATATACATAAAGTAATCAATATCAACACGACACTCGATGCGATAACCAACTGTTTCCTTCTTACTAATGTGTTTCTTCCGAAACAGATGTGAGGCATGGTCAGGATACCAAGCAGGAGACCATACAAGAATCCACCCACGTGAGCAAAATTGTCTACTAAAGGAAATGTTCCAGCAATCAAGAGTAAGACCAGGATCAAAACTATACTTATAATCTCTCTTGAGATCGATTTGATGATACGGAAACCTTCAATAATCTCTAATAAATGTAAGGCAAGTATGCCCGATATTGCACCACAGGCACCGACGTGTGGTGTTCGTGGATCAAAAAATCCAGCTGCCTGTAAATAAATATGAAAGTTATGAATAATTTAATAATATTTAAATTTAATCTATGAAGATTAATTTAGTTGTTAGTTAAAATTTCCAGTTAAATGAAAATTTTCCTGTAAACCACCCTGCAAAATTTTCAAGTGGGTAAACAAAATCGTTCCCTGCCACATGCACTAATATCTACACATATAGAAAAAGATCCAGCAACGAGTTGCTTAACTTTCCCGGAAACATTTCAAACTACGTGTGGAGTCATCTGTTACGATATTTTATTTAAATACTTTGTATGTTTTTAATTATAATAAAATGGCAAAAAGCTTAATTTTGAAGGTAGAGATGGGTTTTACAAAAATTTGTAAATGCTAATAACGAGCAAAATCTTCATTAAACCCGACTCTACTCGAAATATAAGAAATGACCTCCCTTTATTTCCCAAACCTGTTGACCTTTAACCACCAAAATTTACCAGCATTAATTTCTCTAATACGCAAAACTCCCTGTAAAATTTCAGAAATTTTCGACAAAAAGTACAGGAGTTATTAATCTTCGAAGAGGATGAACAAAATCGTGCCCCTCCAAACACACGCACTAATACTGTATCCATACATACAGAAGAAATCCCCGAATTTTAGTTTGCATTTCTCAATGTTTCAGGTCCCCTCAATCTAAACATGTAAAAATCTTGAGAATGGGGTCATTTTTTGATCAATCGCAAAACGTCCTATCTGTTATATATAACAGCCGGGAAAAAAATAAAAATACAATAATAACGAATTATTTTAACTGTATGTGTTTTCGACAAATTATATATTTCATTTGTCCTTGATTGCCTGTTGTTCTCTTTTTAATTGTTAGTAGTATATACTTCGAATAAACTCTCCAATTCAAGCTGTGATAATTTCTGCATTCAGAAAGTTTGCAAAAGATCTATTTTTTTAATAATAAAGGTACAAAAATGTAAAGGTAAAACCTTGGAAAACACTACCTTATGCGACTGTGAATATAAACATCAGTAAATGCGCGTGGATGAGTATTTATTTATTCCCGTCCACAGCGTGATTTTTTTTATCCTACGTGTAATATTCTAATTTTTTAATTATTAATTTTCTCGCTCTGTTATATATAAACAGAGGGAAAGGATGGCTATCGGTCAAAAAATAGCCCTACAAGAGTTTTACATTTTTGGACTCGGAGAACCTCGAAACGTCGTGAATGTTGGGGGGTTTGTGTGTATGAATGTTAGTGTATGTGCTGAGCACTTTACTTTTTTTTGTTTCTATTTTTATATTTTATTACTTTTTATATAGGCTATCTGCTTTTTTTGTGTCATCAACGATCTTCAATGTATATCTTGTACAGCATTCCCGATTGTGCCTAGCGGTGTCGAGATCTAATAAAGGTTATTTGTCTGTCTTTGTTCACCCTCTTTGCAGCTTAATAACGCTGTGCTTTTTGGGAATTTCCAAAATTTCTGAAATTTTGCCGGTAGGTTTGCTTGTTAGCAGGGTTGATGCGGTTAAATTTTAGTGGTTAAAAGTGAATGGGTGGGGAGATAAAGGGGAGTCGTGTGTCTCGATGAAAGTCAGACTTAATGAAGACTTTACTAGTTATTAGCATTTAAAACTTTTTTTTTTTATAAAACCCATCCCTACCCCGAAAATTAAGCTTTTTGCCATTTTATAATAATTAAAAATATAAACATTTTTAAATAAAACGTCGTAACAGATGGCGCCACTGAAATTTTTAATGTTGCCAGGAAAGTTAAGCAACTCTGCTGGATGTTTTTAAAATATTGCTTCTATTAGCGCTTCTAACTTAATTTATAAAAGATACTGAAGAAGATATCGCTTTCACGCTATTCATATCGAAACAATATAAACTAATTTCTTATTTAAAGCTTAAAAATACTTACTAGATTACCACCGAACGATGACAGGATATAAATTAAACCAATTCTAACGCAACCAATCATTTCTTCCAGTGGCCTTCCGATAATCCATTGCAAAATTGAAACCAGAAAATAATGTATAAATCCCGCGTGATAGAAAACCGGTAGTATAAATCTCCAACTTTGTCTAATGCCGGTTGGTATGAAAGAGATTCCCTTTTCAGGATAAGTAATTCCGAAAGAACCACAAAATGATGCAAAACAGTTCACCTAATAAGCAAAATACAATTATTATTATTTAGAATTATGCTTCGAAAGCTTTTAGAATATACATATATATGTACAGTACCTCCATGCAGTGATCTTTATGTGGATGCCATCTTCCATGCAAGAATTGGCATTCGATTTCATTAGTAAGAAAGCATTTACCTAGTAAACCGTAGCAGCATGGTTTTAGCACGTGCTTCATACGGGAGTATATAACAGAAGTACATCTTGTTACATCCCATGTTGCACCGTCTGTAATATAATCAACAAAATGTTCGTATTATAGTTACAGAACACTTCCTTCATATTTTATGTACTAACTTAAAATGAGACATAAAAGACGAACGAAATGCATACTAATAGAGACAGCTTCTTCACACTATACATACTGAAAGGGATACATGATGCATACTGGAGACACCCCCTTTCACATGATGAACACTGAAACGACACGCATTCTGAAGGAGACAGCTTTTTCATACTATGCCTTATGAAGGGGACACTCCTTCACATGAAGCATACTGAAACAACACGAACAATGGAGATATCCCCAATCACATAACGCATATTGAAAACATCACCCTTCACATGACACATACTAGAGACAACCCCTTCACAGGATGCATACTAAAACGACGCGCACACTGAAGGAGAAATCCCCTCTCACACTATGTATATTGAAACGCCACGCAATATTGATTAATAAATAAAAATTAAATTCTTCCAGACGAACCGTCGAATAATATAAATAATTTTTTTTATGTATTATAAGATTTAAAATAAAAAAAGTAAAAAAAAAAACAGAATTTTTAATAAATTAATTCATTCAAAGAAATTTTTTATGTAAATGTCAAAATCTTAAAAAAACACAACGAAAAAAGATCTGCAATTTAATTTAAAGCTAAAAATCAATTTGATAAGCGTATTTCTTAGAAGGAATCGCTAGAATAATTCAAGAATTTTTATTGTTCTTTCATAAAAAAAACAGATCTCAATAAAGTTAGAATTTCAATAATATTTTTCGAGTTAATTTTTTACCCAAACGGCTAAATATACACACGCAGACAGACCCTTTTCGATATTTTAAGGAAGTAAAACAATTTTCGAATATTGTTAGTTGTTTTTCTTGTGTAAAAATACAATTTATTAAATTGTACATAATGATAAACCTTACCGTCACTTAAATATTTACACTCGTTCTCGGTTGTTGTCGCTGCTATTTTCCTTAAATCGTTGTAGCAACATCCAAGAGGATCAGATACAGAAAATCCTTGTTTCAATAGATCGTGGATGATAGTAGCATCCTTTCTCATGCAAGGTGTATACACAGCGCCGTGTTCTAGTGATAAAATGTATTTAAAACATTAATGAAAAGTAAATTTTATATAAATTTCATTATATAAAAGTTTTAAGCATTTGAAAAAATTCTAGACCTATAAATTCCAACTGCCTTTAAGTGGAGTAAATGTATGCCAATTATAATGAGGGAAGGGAAAAAAATAATTTTTTTTTTTCAAAATCTCATGTTGTTTTTAATAAAGACCTGTGCTTGAACACTTCATTTTTATTTAGACTTAAGCACAGATCATTCCTATGTTTAAATTCAATGAAGTTCATCTCTGTTAAGAGAAAGAGCTGTACTTAAACTTCGATAAAACTCCTATCTAAATATATTTAAATGCAACGAACAGACAAACGAATGGTTTATCACATTATATATAAGAACATCCTGAAAACCAGTTATAATCAAATAAAAATTGTATAAAATCTAGCAAAATATCTATCGAGACCATTCCTGTAATTTGAATTAATTTATGTGCAGAATTATTCTAAATTTCAAGTAAATTTAGGGGGAGGAAGGAAATAATTCTTAGAATGAATAGTAAATAAATGTATAGCTTCAAGTATAAAACAAAATAATACTTTTGGAGACTTATTGTTAGCACTTTTCAATTATAATTACTTTACATTGCAGTAAATTAATTTCATAAAAGGGAATTATGTAATGGTTTGTTACTAATTAAATATTTTAAATTCAGATATTTCTATACATATAATGCTTTTTTGTTGAAATTGTGAATGAATTTTCTACTTTTAAAATTTAATTGTCTCCTGTTTTACTTGTAACGTTAATTAATTATTTTCGACGAAAGATTCCTGATTACCTTTTCGAAATACACAAAAAGAGGATTAATAAGTTAATCTTTTGTAATATTTTTACTAAATTTCTCGATAGTTCAAGCTAAATTAACTGGTCATTTTTAATGGAGATTAACTTCTAAATTTATTTTCATAAAAAAAAACTATTCATTACAGTGGTTATTTATTATTAAATATTGAAATTTTAATTATATTAAAGGAGTTTTTAAGTCGCAAACAAGACTTCAGATGCATTGTCTTATTAATTAATACAATTTTAGTAGTAAATAATTTATGAGAAGCCTGTAATAAATTATTCTTAAAGGCTATATATATTACAATGATGATATGAAAGATATTTCATGTGCAGTTATCCAAATATGTATAAAATACTCTTTGGGTTATATTTATGTAATAGTTGACGTTTTTTGCATTGTCTTGACATCAATAATTATGCAAGTTTATATCAACATGGGTTTAAAATTCTCTCTGTATTTTCTTTCTATCTTCAGAATAGTTGAAGGTAGTTTCAACCGTAACTTGATATGCTTAATAAATACTACTTTACTAACAGTGCTTGAAATGCTGCCCTTCAAAGATACTAACTTGCTACCACCAATGTTTCAGATGCTAACATTCAAGGAAGCTAACTTGCTCCTCCCATGCTTTAGATGCTAGCAATCAAGGATGCTAATTTGCTTCTAATGCTTGAAATGTGAACTGTATGATTAGGTTGCATATAATTTACACCCATTCATCCAATCACACTCCTACTCACACACCTCAAAATAGAATCAGATTGTTTTACAGTACAAGATATAATAATACAGTCGACCCCCCTATAACACAGTGCCGTTCACAGCCCGGCACACGTATTTGTAAAATCTAAGTGACTCGTACAACTTGGAATTCATATAAAACGGAATTATCAANGCATGTTGTGTGTTTGCATTGTCTGTATACGCATACAAATTCCAACGAAAGGAAAACTTGGAGATTTTTTTTCCTCGGCCAGGAGAAAACTTAGGAGAAGATATAATAATACAGTCGACCCCCCTATAACACAGTGCCGTTCACAGCCCGGCACACGTATTTGTAAAATCTAAGTGACTCGTACAACTTGGAATTCATATAAAACGGAATTATCAACAGTGTTATAGGGGATCGACTATAATAATACATGTAGTAATTCATAAGTGTGGCAAAAATTGATTAATTTTATTTATTTACTTGCATAAATGTTTGAACTTATTTTAAATACTTACTTATTAAACTTCTTTTTGAAGGTCCAATCCACATATTAGGAGTGTGCCAATAATCTATGGGTTGATGACCGCTAAAAGTATCCACATCAAGCAAAAACTCAACAACTGGATGAAGTCCAACAGGCGCTATACCTGAAAGAAATGTAAATTTTCTTCCATCAAAGTTAAACTTTTCGTATAACAATTAAAATAATACGCATAAATAAAGTGTTACATACCACCAGATGACGAAATTATAATCATTATAAGGAACTGTAACATAGTCATGCTGGTAATAAAATAAGGAAAAGTAACAGCTAGTGGTTTCCTACGTTGAGCAGCAGCAACATCAAGTCTACAGCAGAAAAATTCATTAGTGCTTAATCAACTGTTATAAAAATTCTTTTATTAATTTCCCATATAACAGAGGGAAAGTATAGCGATCGATCAAGAAATGGGCCTACAAGATTTTTACATTTTTGGATTCAGAGAACCTCGAAACGTCGAAAATGTTGGGGGGTTTCTGTATGTATGAATGTTAGTGTGTGAGGGGGCACGCTTAATAAGTTCTGTGCTTTTAGTCGAAAATTTCTGAAATTTTGCAGATTGGTTTGTGTTTTATAGGGATTTATGCTGTTAAATTTTGATGGTTAAAGATCGCTAGGATGGGGAGATAAAGGGGGTCGTTTGTCATATCTCGAGTGGGGTCGGACTTAATGACGATTTTATTCGTTATTAGTATTTACAATTTTATATAAAACTCATCCCTACCCTGAAAATTAAGCTATTTGCTATTTTATATCAATTAAAAAACATAAAAACGATATTAAAAATTAAAATATCGTAACAGATGGCGCTATACGCAATTTTAAATGTTTCCGGGAAAGTTAAGCAACTCGTTGCTGAATTTTTTAATGTATTTTTTTCACCTCCGAGATGATTGAAAGATACATCAAGATAGTATTTATGAAAGCTTGATGGAAAAGTCGACGTAGAGAAAAAATTAGTTGACTACGCGAAGAAAAGTTAATCGAGTATTTTCAACACGTCGATAAAAATGATGGAATATGTGGTTAACTTCTGACATATACTTTACCACAAACTTTAGGGGGTGACAAATGTATTAAACTAGAAACCTTTCTCTTAAAGGAGATTACCTGATAAATAATTGCTAAGTGTCCTGTCAAACTCAAACACTACGTAAATGTTTCTAAGTTATTTTAAGTGCTGCAACTTTTTTTATATAAAAAAAAGCTCCCCTACATAATAAAGTAGCTAACGTGCTTCATCTTCTATTGTAATACTGAAAGTTTTATAGCTAATCTCTACTATAATATATAAGAATATATGAATATAATTTCTCTTATTTATAAGGAAATTACTCTATAGAAATAACAAAATTAATAATTCAAATAACTAACTCCGTTATTTTAATTTATGAAATCATTTTCCTTACTTATAAATCCGGTTTTACGACGTATAAATTTAACAGGAGATTTCCTTATTTAAATTATTTATTAACTTTTTTTATTCATTTTACAAATTTCAAGCTTCACGGAGTAAAAGCCAATGTATTTTTTATTTATTTTTTGGTGAAAAAATTTAAAATTTATGACTATGCATATTACGAATTTATTTTAATTTATAAGCCCTCCATTCTTATTCGTTTTTTTAAAAACTTTTTCCTTGTTTTTTTTTTCTACAAAATTTATGAACGTCTGCTGCTTAACTGGCGTCGTATATCCGGACGGATCGAATTTATAAGTTATTAAAGATTAAACGTTAATTTATAGAAGAAAATAAAGTTATAAAATGCAACTCTCCATCTAATTTTAAAGGATTTTTGATAGTAAATTTTATAAATGTTTACTTTAATATAAATATATTATTATATTTTATGTTTAATGGATAAGGATTGCGTGTAAGAATTATAGTCCACCTGATAAATCCTATAAAATGGGATTTAATGTAGATCCAGACTTAATTTATGGGCACAAATTTAGATCTACTATTACGAAATTTAAAACTAAGTCCCATTTTAATTTAGTGGTAAAAATTTACATCTTGTATAATGGGATTTAATTTAAATCCCATCTTAATTTAGAGGAACAAATTTAGATTCCATATTATGGATCCATGATCCTTCTTGATCAAAGAGGGTCATGGATTCATAATAGGGACGGTCCATTATGCGACTAAATTACAGAAATGTCTTAACTGTTCTTGGACATCAGGAGAGATATTTTCTGGCATATCTTTTCCACCTGAAATAATAAATTAATATAATTTATCAATTATTTATTTATTTTAATAAAATAATATTTTAAAATCGAATGGTAATTTGTAAAGGTATATTATCTATTAGGCGTGTTTGTTTTGTTACTGTAGGATTTTTACGTCAGTTTGACGTCACTTTTCATTACAGATGACGTCAAATTGTGTATAACATTTATAATATTACAATAGGTGAGTATTTGATCATTCAGTATGTAAAAAATAATACGAATTTACCGAGTTTATCAATGAATATATATTGTTAAATCTGCAACACTTTTACAATGGTAAAGCTTATATTAGAATAATTTACTTTTAGAACTAGATGAAGACCAAGATTACACTTATCAAAAATGATTTTAAAGCACCCTTTAACATTAAAATATTATTTATTTTTAACATTTTATCGTTTTAAATTAGTTTCTTCTCTTTAATTCTATTCAATTCATTTTATTTGTCTACATTTATTTAATTTCATGTATTCATTATCTACAACATATTTGTTTTATCCAAAAATATTAAATAAACACCAAAAAAAACAAAAACAAAAACACATCAAAACCTTATTAAATGATAAAATTATAATCATAAATAACATCCCCAAAATGTGTTTGCTTAATAACTAATTAATTTTTAATCACATGTTCATTGTTAAATAAAATAAATAAATAAACTGACATATAACTTTACAGTACCTTTTTATATTTTAAGAGTATTATACATGTTTAAATATATTTTTATAATGCTAATAATTATACAACGTGCGTTTAACAACGAGGGTATCAGTATCACAATTTTAAGAGAAAGTATTATATAATTTACTATATAATTTCCATAGAAAAAATATAATTTTAGTGCTATTTATTAAATATAATTCTTCAAATTCATTATAAAGTATAATTTTATAAAAAAACAAACGAGAGTGCTGCGATAAGCTGAATAAAGATGAAGTTATTCTGTGTTTGTACGCTCCTTTTCTGTACGAGTAATTATAATATTCGCTATTTTATACAAGCAGACAATGGAAAAACCCATTCTCTAGATACTAACGGATGCAAGCTTTGGAGTGATGCTGTGTGACACGCAACAAATGGGATTTTCTTTTTTCTAACTTCAAAAAATATCAAATAATATAAGTACTGTACGTTATAAAACTGGAAGATAAGCAATTTATGAGGTAACATATTAATCCAATAAGGTGTAGAGGAGAGGTAATTAACTCGCAAGATTTTTGTTGTATCACTTGATAATTTAAGATAAATATTTATATATTATTTTTTAAAAATTTCAAGAAATTATCTGTTTGCAATATAAAGTGTATCAGCAATAAAGAAATCAAGCAAGGAGTTGCATAACTTTCCCAGCAAGAAATAAGTTACAATTGTATGTGACACCATCTGTTACAAGATTTTATTTTAAATACTTTTTATATTAATAATTATTATAAAACTGAAAAAAAAAAACGTAATTTTGAGGATAAGAGGCGAGTTTTATAGCAAAAAAAAATTGTAAATGCTAATAACGAATAAAATCGTCATTAAGTCCGACCACATGGGATATGACCCCCGCTCTCTNTTAAAGTATGTATATATGTTTACATGGTTGTCAGGTAATGTGTTGTAAACCGTTCAACTTATCCTCACCAAATTTGGCATGAATATTTTTCTACACCTTAGAAAAAATACTGTGGGGTCTCCCGACCACCCCTAAAGCCCACCCCCTCTTAAATTAAACACGAGTAATTTCCTTTCTTCTTTTGTTTGCTGTGTTAGTAGTTTCATTATTGTAGATACTCGGATCAATAAATGTAAATTGTAGTTTACTATGACCATTGTTTTTATTAATTAGTAAAAATTAAAAAATTAATTTTTATAATTTTAAGTTGTTTATTTATTACGTTAATTGTTTAAAATGATTAATTTTAAAGAAAACAATACAAAAGTATTTTCTCCCAACGAGGGTATCAGTATCACAATTTTAAGAGAAAGTATTATATAATTTACTATATAATTTCCATAGAAAAAATATAATTTTAGTGCTATTTATTAAATATAATTCTTCAAATTCATTATAAAGTATAATTTTATAAAAAAACAAACGAGAGTGCTGCGATAAGCTGAATAAAGATGAAGTTATTCTGTGTTTGTACGCTCCTTTTCTGTACGAGTAATTATAATATTCGCTATTTTATACAAGCAGACAATGGAAAAACCCATTCTCTAGATACTAACGGATGCAAGCTTTGGAGTGATGCTGTGTGACACGCAACAAATGGGATTTTCTTTTTTCTAACTTCAAAAAATATCAAATAATATAAGTACTGTACGTTATAAAACTGGAAGATAAGCAATTTATGAGGTAACATATTAATCCAATAAGGTGTAGAGGAGAGGTAATTAACTCGCAAGATTTTTGTTGTATCACTTGATAATTTAAGATAAATATTTATATATTATTTTTTAAAAATTTCAAGAAATTATCTGTTTGCAATATAAAGTGTATCAGCAATAAAGAAATCAAGCAAGGAGTTGCATAACTTTCCCAGCAAGAAATAAGTTACAATTGTATGTGACACCATCTGTTACAAGATTTTATTTTAAATACTTTTTATATTAATAATTATTATAAAACTGAAAAAAAAAACGTAATTTTGAGGATAAGAGGCGAGTTTTATAGCAAAAAAAAATTGTAAATGCTAATAACGAATAAAATCGTCATTAAGTCCGACCACATGGGATACGACCCCCGCTCTCTCCCCACCCCTCGACCTTTAATCACCAAAATTTAATAGCATCAATTCCCTTACACACTTCTAAAAAATTGAAATTTTTCAGGTGTCTCTTGTCAAAAATTTCAGAAATTTTCGACAAGAGACACAGGCGTTACTAAGCTTCAAAGTGGATGAACAAAATCATGCCCTCCCGCACGCACTATCATTATACATACAAAAAACTCCCAATTTTTTCCATTTCTACGTTTCAAGAGCCAAGGGCCAACGGCTCATGCCCTTGAAACGTCGAAAAATGACCTTATTACCATACTTTCTTTCTGTTATATAAAACAACTGGGATAGTAAAATGAGTTAAATTTGGGCCTAAATTGTTACCACATTCAAACTATGATAATCAGGGAAGAATTTAACCTAGTTACGACTTTACGAAAGGCACTTATAATAATAATAATATTAATAATGATAAATTTAAAAGAATAAGGATCTAAACTCCTAGTGTGAGACCATTAAAGTTGTAAGTCATTAAGCTGTAGTTTATGCATAAATAAGTCCTGCTCATAATTTCATACATAACAAACTCGCTAAACAGAAGCGAGATCTGTGTGAGGCTTTAATTTTATAAAAGTTTTAATTAATTAATTAATTAAACACAATTTAAATCTTTGAAGTATAAATTTTCTCTTCTAAAATTAATTAATTTATGAAAAAAATTCGGAAAAAGTATAATGTAATACAGTACAATGTTATAATTTATTGTTATTTTCCTGGCTGTTGTATAAGTTATAACACAGGGAAAGTATGTCCATCGGTCAAACAAAATAACCTCCCTCCAATATTTTTACATTTTTTGGATTCAGGAGAACTTGAGACGTTGAGAAATGCAAAAAAAATTTGACGGCTTTTTCTGTATGTATGGATATTTTAGTGTGTGAGGGGGATGATTTTGTTCATCCACTTTGTAGCTTAACAAATCGTGTGCCTTTTATCCAAATTTTCTGAAATTTTGCAGTTACGTTTGAGTACTAGGGGGATTGATGCTGTTAAATTTTGGTGGTTAAAGGTCAACAGGGTTGGGAGATAAAGGGAGGTCATTTCTCATATCTACAGTGGGGTCGGGTTTAATGAAGATTTTACTCGCTGTTAGCATTTACATTTTTTTGTAAAACTCATCCCCACCCTGAAAATTAAGCCTTTCCTATTTAATAATTAATAATACACAAAAGATTTTTTTAAAAATAAAATCTCATAACAGATGGCGCCACACACAATTTTAACTTTTTTTCCGGGAACGTTACGCAACTGGTTGCTGGATGTTTTAAAATATAATACATGAATATTCCTTAATTTCAATAATACAAAATATATTAAAATTGCTATTTATTTATATAAAAGAACAAATAATATAATATATTGATAATTTACCTAAACTAAATTTTATTATTGATGGTTTAGGAATTGAAAATCTGGAATCTCCATGTTCTGAATGCTTTACTTCCATTTCTGCCTAGAAATATACACATATATATAATTATTTTTTTTAAAATTATTTTATATAATTATAATAAATTTTCTATTAAATTAAAGTAAATAAAGTTATTTGTTTTCCATTAAAAATATAATGTTTTTATGCAATTTAATCTAATAACAATATCTAAAGTCGACCTTGTAATGACGGTCACCTCTAAACGACGGCCATTTTTTATATGTCCGCTGTTTACAGGTTTAACTGTATAATAAAATATACATTTTATTGTAATTTTATTTTAATTGATGTAAATTTTGAGATTTAAAATAAATTAAAGAAAAAAAATATAAAAATTTTATGTAATAACGATTTTTATATCATTAAAAATTTATATAAAATTTATGAAATTTAAAGTAAAACAAAATCAATTTTTTAAAATATTTTTCCATAAATATATATATATATAAATTATTCATATAGTTTTATTTAATAATTATATATACGTATATATATAGTTAAAGTATGTATATATGTTTACATGGTTGTCAGGTAATGTGTTGTAAACCGTTCAACTTATCCTCACCAAATTTGGCATGAATATTTTTCTACACCTTAGAAAAAATACTGTGGGGTCTCCCGACCACCCCTAAAGCCCACCCCCTCTTAAATTAAACACGAGTAATTTTCTTTCTTCTTTTGTTTGCTGTGTTAGTAGTTTCATTATTGTAGATACTCGGATCAATAAATGTAANTCAACTTAAAATTTTATTTTAAAATATAAACACGCCACAGGCTAATTTGATATACTCGATAAGATTTAATTCTAATTATTGTAGGAATGTTTATTTTTAGATTTAGAGTGAAGATAATGTAAATAATTTGCGTTAAAAAAAAATTTAAAAAATCAAAATGGCGTATAATTTTGTTTGTTTTTTTTTCTTGTTGGAGTGTACGCGTATAAAAAGGATCTAACCCGAACAGGTTTGTAATTAAATCAATTGAGTTTGATGAACAGAAAAATTAGGAAGTGATCTTTCGCCTTTCATACCTTTTCCTCTGCAGGATGAATGACCTTCTTCATAAATATTTATTGTATTTTATAATAACGAAATCGTGTGTGTGTTGTGTATTTATGTTGTATTGTATATGTGTTTGTTTACGCTGTACGTTTGCCTGTTGTGTTGTATTTGTGCTGTGATGTCTTGTGTATGTTGTATTTGTGCTGTGATGTCTTGTGTGTGTTGTATTTGTGCTGTGATGTCTTGTGTATGTTGTATTTGTGCTGTGATGTCTTGTGTGTGTTGTATTTGTGCTGTGATGTCTTGTGTGTGTTGTATTTGTGCTGTGATGTCTTGTGTGTGTTGTATGTTTGCATGTTGTGTGTTTGCATTGTCTGTATACGCATACAAATTCCAACGAAAGGAAAACTTGGAGATTTTTTTTCCTCGGCCAGGAGAAAACTTAGGAGCCCTTACTGGTTTCTATACCTAAAAATTTATGTTAATTTTCATTCCTCCTTGGTGAAAAGCATGAAAAAAAACACAGAATAAAAATAATCACGTTTAAAACGATGATTTTATTATGTTTTTGGAGTGATTAAAGAAAAAATAACTTAATAAACATAAGTTGAAATAGTCCGTATCAGTAATTTTCGTTGTTCTCTTAACATCCCTCATTATACTATGGACCTTCAAGATGTGGCTTATCTGAAAGGTCATAGTAAAAATACATGGTTCCTATTTTCCTATTATTAGGGAGACTTATATTGTATATATATATACAGTATATACGACGTAATAGAGGTGACGAGTCACATGCAGTGTCATGCATGTATTAAGTTTATTTATTTAAAGTATAAGTTTACTGTATAAACAAAACAATGTCACTAAATATAGTTCAACACTCGTTCGATAATTGAACATATTTTCTTTAAGAAATACAACTACAAAATGATGTCACACTGCGAAACACATACCTAAGTAACAAAAGATTTTCCTGTTAAAAATCCCCTTATAAATTAAACATTTCGTAACACAATTACGTGTATAAAGTCATTCTTACGCGCTTATACATTAAAGATTGGCGTATAAATCTGTAAATTCGGATGCGTCATATTTAAATACATCCTGAACCGAAGTAGAAATCTCTTATAATTATAACTATGACGCATCATTGAAACAACAGCTGCGAAATCGTGAGAGAATGCTTCACACAATACATTTTTTCCCATCCCAATACCGGACACCCTTCTTAACTATCCTATACCAAGAGGAGTTACACAAGATAATATATTTTAGTGACATTTCTGTTGAAACGACGAACATCCGTTCGTGTCACTTCCTTCCTTCCACTGTACTTCCACAGTAAAATTTTATCGATACGTATGGTAATAAGGATGTTAAATGTGACTAATTGTTAGTCAACACGCTGGTGTAAGTGTAATTTTCTAAAATAATACATCATTATTTCAACAAATTGGACGACAGACTAATTTAATCGATGTTTATAATTGCACGAATTAAAGTCCCCGTCGAGTCAAGGGTGTTAAGTCAGTTTTCTCGTGTCAGTTGTATACGCAACTGTCTTCGTCTTTCAAATTTTGAAGGTCTAGTATCTATGTGAACGTTACTTGTAAAGTATTAGTTAAAAAAGAAAACGTGCTAAGTCTACATTAAAACTAACCAATAGTATCTGTTTAATTCAAAGAATTTTAGACAAAATTTCACAATTTTGCCGAAGAGAGACGTGTAAATTCGAAAATAAAAGGAAAATTTGCCTTCTAGAATCTACGAAAAAACGTTAACATTACTTGTAAAGTGTTACTTAATACAGAAAACATGCTACGTCTACGTTAAAACTGGCGATTAAGCATTAGTTTACCTGCTTAATTTAAAGAATTTCGGACAAAATTTCACACTTTCATATCAGTTTCGCCTAAGAGAAAGGTGTAAATTCGAAAATACAAGCCAAATTCCTTCTAGAATCTATGAAAATTAACAAATAACACTGGCTAATAAAAGAAATGTGTTACGTTTAAGTGAAAACTAGCCAATTTTGCTCATCAATTATGAATTTACTGTCAAGAATTTCTCATTTTCATAATAAATTCGTATAAGAGGAAGGTATAAATTCGAAAGTAAAAGTCGAACGCCCTCATAAAACTTTATAGTAAGTGCACAAGGTGTATCAAAACACCTCATAAAATATAAGAGCGTAAATGCTATTTCACATGCCACAAATCTATATCTGTAATTTAGTCAAAAGGAATAATTTAATTAATGGTTTTTATTTTTATAATTATCGTAATACGAGTTTTTATCGTACCATAATGCAGACATGGGAAACTAAATATTCGGGTTATGGTAATTAAGTAATTTTATCAAGCAGTGAAATGTTAGTTATATTATCCTTGCGTAACTGCATAGTTTATTGACCCAATATTACAACCTTGAATGTAAAAACGTTAAAAAACGTTTTATTTTCTTATTTTTTTACATAAAATAAACGTTTATTCGCGAATACTTCCATGGAAAGAGACGTTTAGTCAGCAATTTTTATACCAAAAATGTGTTAATTTTGATATTTTATCAGCTTTTGAGACTATAAAATTCGATAATTTTCAATAAAAAATGAATAATTGGCAAGTGTAAACACCCTTTTATTCCACAATACATCACGAGGAACAATAAACGAAGGTGAAAGTATGGCCATAGATCAGAAAATGGCCCCGAATTTTGAGCTCGGAAAATCTTAAAACGTAGAGAAATTCAAAAACATTAGGGGAAGATTTTCTGTGTGTTAGTGTGTGTGGGGGGTAGCACGATTTTGTTCACTCACTTTAAAGCTTAATAACTTCTGTGCTTTTAGTTTTAGAAGAAGAAGAGGACGTTTCTCTAGTCAATTTTTATGCTTAGAATAACTGAAAAATTCAATTAATTACAATCGAAATATGAATAATTGGCAATTCTAAACACGTCAGGGACGAATAAATTATTTATTATAAAACTAAGCTGTTTGTTTCTATCTATTATTGAGAAGATAATCTATTTTACGAGCGTACTGTAGATTAATTATAGTCCTTCAATGCGTTTTTTTTACGAGACACTACCCTTGATTAATGTCTGTTTAATACACGACGAGTTTTACGTACAATTACGCATCGAAATGTGTGCTTTTTTGATTATTAAGACGTGTCTAACTGTAGGAAAACAAATGGAAGTTATACACAACACACGTTTTATATATAGCCCTTATCTATACACTAGAAGTGTCGGTGCTGGATTTATTCTTCAAGTCTAAAATATCATATAACAAGGTATAAAGATAGGAAACAAAAGAGGAAAATAAGTAAGAAGGAAGAAAAAAAACTGAGTAAAATTATAGCAAGATGATAAAGTTTCTAAAGTTGTAGAGGAAGGAGATTCGAAGAAATTACATAGAAAGCAATTTGAAAAAAAAGTAGGTTCCTTCATGATAGAGTTACAAACTGAAAGAGAAATAATAATCAGGGAAAACGAGAGTTTTTCGAAGGATAAAATAAAATTTAAAAAAGAAAAATATATATATATGAATTTTTAAATTTATTTTAACATAATTTCAAATATAAACACCACAGAGTGTTCCATAAATCGGTTAACCGGTTAATGTTACGAATAATGTAAAAGTTGAAGTAAGGAAATATTTCAATAAGACGGAAATTTAAGACTTTACAACGGTTAATTGATTTGTGGGCCACCCCGTGTACTCCGAGTATATTCTACCCACGTATAAATTAATACTGTACGGTGTGATATGAGTGAAAATTAATTAGGAAATCTAATAAGTTTGAAGGTAAAAGTGTCAAATATTCCACACGATTTTATTATATAAAATTATTTATATTATCTTCAGAACGGTGTGCGCTTACTGAAGATGATAAAAAAACTTAGTTTTGAGGGTGGAGATGAGTATTTTTTAAAAGAAAATTAAGAACAAGAAGCTGTCAAAAAAGCTTATGTGATGCGCTGAATCATCCAACATCTCATTCCAGCATCCAGACGATAAATGATGCTTAACAGGAGCTCCTCCTCATCCTCAGATGATGCTAGTGAACATTTATCCAGGAGCTATCCAGCATTTAATTCTAAATTCCTAGATAACGTCGAAGAGAAGCATCTGAGGATGAGAAGAATTTCCTCAAAGTGCGTGTTAAACCATTATAAAATTTCCCAGGGAATAAATTATTTAAAATAATCTAACATAAGAGTAGTTTAAAATTACATAAAAATAATACGGCACTTGTAAACTATATAGCGATTAACCCGGATATAACGTAACAAAAACCCCGAAAAAATGTTGTAAACTCATTAATTTGCAATTAATTATTAAGAAACTAATGAATTTTATTGGGAAACTTTGCAGAAATTAGCGTTAATTATAAAATCTCGATGGGTAAACCTTGTAAAGATTACACCTCGGAGAATTCGAAATTAATTAAATCCAAGAATTAAGAAATAAGAAGAAAAAAAAATAGAAAAATGAGCAAAAATTTGCGACTTTTCTTAATAAAATTAGCATAAATTCACTCCCCAATTCTCCGACGTGTAAGTTTTTAATAACATTAAATAAAAGACATTGTGGCTCTTCTTTGTATGAAATTCCATTTAATTAGTTTATAGATAAAGTCTTATTGTCACTGAATTGATTTTCGTTTGTTTACAGTAAAAATAATTAAAGAAAATAAATAAATAAACTTACAGCTATGAGCTTACGATAGAATTTATAAGCCTGGCTACCATAAGCGAAACCGTACAACGCATCACTGCTTTCACTTTCTTCCTTCTGAAACAGATAAACAAGTGTTTATAAGTGTTTATAACGTCTAAAATATAATAATAATTGTATAAATACGTAAATTTTACACCTTTGGCATTAGAAAAATAAACTACGCCAGTGTGTTTATTGTTACAGAAGCTACACTACGCAGGGTGGTCCAAAAATCAGTTAACTGTACGCGTTTTTTTGTGTGTGCATACGAATTCGTTATAAGTGTTGTAATTTACGTACAAAATGTATATATATATATATATATATAAGTTACAGGGTGGCCCAAAAATAAATTAACCGCATTCCGGATACAGTTGCGAATATAATAAAGTTTATAAATTAAATTTCTCTTATCTTAGGCATTAATTAGATGGAGGTTTAATGGTTAACCTACTCCTGGGCCACTTTATATAATAGATTTGTTAACGAATTTATATACTTTCCTATAAAACAAGTTACACGAGAGGTGGCTCAAAAGTCAGTTAACAACGTTTTATTCCGTACGTTCTGGATGCATTTAGCAATTTTTGATGTTTATTAGCGATAAAATATTTTGAGTAGCGCAGCAATTTATCCCTCTACAGCGGTTAACTGACTTTTGAGCCACGTGTAGAAATTTTGTCTATGTAAGCCTGTATAACGACATTACTTGTATTTACGCGGGGTGGCTCGAAAGTCAGTTAACCGCGTGTCCGTTTCGTGTGTTTCGATTACACTTCGCAGCGAAATTAATTAATTAAATCATCGAACAGAAAGGAGCAATTTCTACGACGTCTGTACGTGATAAAGCAGAAATTTGCTCTTTACCGTCGTTAACTGACTTTTGGGACACCCTGTACGTACATTTAAAGTAAATGACCCGTGTAAATATGTATAAATTATATATACCAGTATATTACAGGGTTTAGACACATTTAAATCCTGTAATATATATACTTAGCAATATTTAAAGATAGGAAACGTGTGTTTTAACTTATAAACAAGCTCAATGGCATTCAAAGTTCTGTAAATTACTACTTTGGGTTTAGTTTAACGAATACCCAATGATTAAATTGCATTATATACGTGCTCGTTAGCGAAAATATGTCATGTAAAATTATAGAGAATGTTCTTTGTTAATGATATTATATTTGTACATTCGTATATATAGGCCTATATATTGATTATAACTTGTATATAACTAGTTTGGAGACCTCGATGAAATCTTTAATGGGTTTACTGCATCAAATATACAACTTTGATGTATAATTAACTATCGATACGATCTAAACTATTCTACAATATCTCAATATATACAAGAAAAAAATAATTCATGTATATTTAAGTAGGATAGGCTTGTATGTAGTTAATGAAGTAAAAAAGACCAGTTATTTAAGACAGACATAAAAACATACAAAACCATTTGTACAGGATTAATTTTGATGGTTTATTTATTAATTACACTTAAAATTAATTCATTTAAATGTTAATTATTCGTGTAGTTATAAAATTTATATTGATTTTTATAGCTTTAAAAATTATCTATAAAACTGCGTGGCAGAGAATTATCTTTAAAGTTTCTTAGACATTTATTTTCTAGATTTTATTATTCTGGAAGTGGAAATATGTAGAAATAAATCTAAAATTACATCTCATAAACATAAATTGATACGGTAATGTCATAAATTATATAATAATTATCTTTAAAACTTTCAAATCGAAGTTACAAAACGTTAGAAGTTATCATTAATCTTTGAATTTAGATAGAAGTTATCCTAGTTTATGTATTTTTATTTTAGTTTTTTTTGTTGTGTATTTTATTTCTAGAACCTTTACTGTTCCTGAAAGACGTATAAACTTATGAGTTATTATTATTTGCTTATAAGCCAATACACATTATTTATGAACAGGGAAACAATACAAAATAGTGATCACACACAGTACTCAAATTCCTTCACTCCTACCTCCAGTAAATTTGAAGATAATCAGTGAAATATTTGGCCCTCTTAATGTTTCTAGAACACATATTTGAATGATGTCTAATTACTTTGACTATCTACAATTATAGAATAAAAACGTGTTCTGTAATTATATATAATCTACATAAACTGCTGTTTCACTTTCTGGATACATCAATGTCTTTACTGTGTTACAAAACACATTTTTCTCATAAATTTGTGTAGTTAATCAATAGAAAGTTAGTATTAAAGACAGTAAACAAGAAGACATACAATATACACAAACATAGATTAATATTTATTAACACATTCCCTATAATAATGATTAACAACATATCACAGTTCGATTCATTACCGTATTACAATAATTTACATTAAAAATAAAAATAATAATAATAAAAGACCACAAAGGACAACAGATAAATCAGCCAGGAAGGCCTACACCCCCGTTAACTATATGGCACAAAACTACTGTCTGGGTAACCAAATGTCCTCCTCACTCGAATAAGAACTGTGAGATGACGAAGATAACCTAGAAGAGGAATGATTCGACCATTTTGATAGGCCATTATTGCTGGAAGACGGGCAAGATAAAGACGAGGGCGAATCAGTTAGAGTGACAGTGTCAACGTTCAGTTCTGTAGTGACGTTGCTGAGTACCCTGGATGTCTTCTTACAAGTTATTGGTAGGTTTGGTTTACGTCTACTCTCAGTGATACGGCTGGATGATGAAGTTTTATGTATTATTTCCCTTGTACTTAACGGTGGTGTTGTTGGAGGTATGTCAGGGGATGCACTTACTTTTCCAAAAAAGCTCCTCAGTTTATTTATACCTGGAAATTGCGGCCCTCTCCTCCTTTCTGCTTCGGATGGCTGAAACAAATAAATGATACAATTATAAAACTGTAGATTTAATTCATTTTTTTTTTATTTTTAAATTTGTATACACATCACTGATCTTAAAACTAGTATCAGGGGAATTCCTGCTTCAGTTGCTGCTCTAAAAAGAACAGATAGAAACAAATATATAACTATCCTGAATGGTTTCTTACGGTTGAAACATTCTTGTTACGTCGTATTGTTAGTGTAAACACACAGATTACAGTAACAACAAACATCCCGTAGGGGTATTTTAATGTTTTATAACATAATATTCGCTTTATTAAGGGATAAAAAAACAAGTATTCCTTTTTTTTTATAAACGTCCTCCTCACTCGAATAAGAACGAGTGTTCCTAGGAACGTTTTACGCTAATTTATCATCTTTTTATAAGAACTGTCACATGATACAAAATCAGAAATGTGCAATCTGCTCTTTTTCAAACATCTGCTTATTAAAAACAACATTATCCAGCCTTAATAAATTATAATTAGGTGCTAATAACGTTATTTAATTTACACAGCCGCTCTACCAGTGAAATTTATTTCGGGTGTAATTTTTAATATAAAAATTACAGCCTTCTGTGCTCTCCCCTTCCAACACAAAGCGCACAGAATGTATCAAATTTAGCATTCTTTCACGACAGAAAAAGGAAGTAACGCGAGAAAAACTAGCAGGGAACTTGTTTTAGCGCACACCTCGCCTATTTGCATCAGAATGGTGACCAAAAATTCTTTAATTAATCCCCAAAACTTGACATTTAACTCATCCTGGGTGTTATCTAGCTAATACTGGCACATTTAACACCCCCTGTGTATTATCCGGCTAACATTGTGCAGAACGAAAGATCGTCATAACCCGTTATCTAAATCGATTATGCCACACATCTCTCCCTCCTTAATGTAATTTAATCTTATCAAAATAATTATCCCAGCGAGTAAATAAATATTACTGTAGTAGCATTGTGTCGTGTATAAAATCCAGATTGCTAAATGTGTCTTAGGTGAGAGGGGGGTTGAAAAACTAGACAAGTTGATATTAAATATCGAAGAAATTGAAATGTTACTCTGTGTTATAAACATGCAAATTGGAGTCCATTGACACTTGAAAACGTGAAGAGTTGGGTGTCAATGGACTAGTGAAGTCTCACGTTATCAAATATTAAAAAAAATATCATCATCATCATCATCATAAGCCAGAGGGTGAAAAAAAATACAAAAATAAATCTCTCTTTCTGTGTATTAATTATTATTTACTGATAACACGTTTCGCTTTATATTAAATAATTACTTAAGTTTTTATTATGTAAATTTGCTGCAGGTAATTAAATTTTTCTCTTGTTAACTCTGTAAGCTTTCCCTCCTCATTATTATTATTTAATGTTTCTTTTTTCCCCCCTTCTTCTTCTTCTTCTTCTTCTTTCTTTTTTCTTATAAGCGTGTGCGTTTAAGGAAATTGAATTCTCTCACTTTAACAATTACTGTATCGTTTTCTACAAATTTTAATTCTTATTAAGGGTCTAAAAAATAAATTAAAAGCTTAGAAATTGCCGTATTACTTCCTCTCCCTCCCTCGTAAAATTATGAAGTTGGACGAGAGACAGAAAATTTGGGAAACATCAACATCCGCTTCTAATTTTTCTAAATATTTATAGTTGAAAATGTGCATATTATAAGCAATATACGGGTGTATTTAGTTCTATTAACAACGCTTAGCATTCTTTTTAAGGTTATGAGGCCTTGTTACACGTTATTAATTCCTTACCTTACTATAGTTACGTGTAGTTAAGTCCCTACTTTACTGTATTTTCATCTTAAAGCCTTACCTAAAGCTAGTCACACGTTACTACGGTCTTACCTAACCAATTTACACGTTGTTAAGGCTTTAATTAATTAATATCATGTATTTTTAAGGCCTTAACGATGGCGCCTCATGACTGGATTTAACATTAAAAAAAGTATTTATGCTGCCGATAATATAGTAAGAGATAGAAGGGGAAATAAATCGAATTTATTAAAATCATTTTCGAGTAAATGGCATTAATAAATGATGTTAATAAATCACATTTCCCTTTAAACACGTTTAACCGATTAAAAATACAAATTCATTTATCAAATTCGTTTTCTTTCTGGTGATAATTCTTTTTGTTTATCGTCTGTTAAAGCTATTAAAAGTTATCTTTTTAAAGCATCAGGAATTTCCTGTTTAAAGAACAAGAATGTTTAATTTCTAATTAAATTTAAGCAAGAAAATTTATTGGATTATAAGAATTGAATTAACTTAGAAAATGTCTTTAAATCGAGTCATTTTGTAGGATTTTTTGTGGGTCTGCAATTTTTAATTTTTTTAAACAAAATGCATTTGAATAATCAATTATTCATCAAGATCGTTTAAATATATAAGCGAATAAGATTTAATTTGTTACACTTTAATTCAAACAAGAATGCAAAAATTAATTGTATAAACCTACAAAAATTGTTTAAACCGATTTAAAAAAATACAAAATTCTAATTACTCGACCCAAGAAAACACAAAATTTAATTGCCCAATTCACAAAAAAAAAATATAAAATTTAATCGCCCAGTTTCGGAATAGGACAATAAATTTTATGATTTAATTTCAACAGAGCGCAACAAAACTGCTGAGTTTTGTTGCGCTCTGTTCTTAAGTTAATATACATTATAACCTCCGAATAGCGGACACCACCGGAGCAGAGAAGTTCGTCCGCTATTTAGAGGTAAACATAATGGATGTCCTGTTCGAAGGTTCTGGGAATTACAAAACTGTTCGTTAAGTAGAGGTGTCCGCTATTTAAGAGTGTCCGTTACAATAGGTTCTAGAAGCTTGGATAGACTTCTAGAACCTATTGTATATAAATTTATATAACTAACTTAAAAAAAAAGGAAATTCTTACCATTCTCATCCTGCTTTCGATTATATCGTGAGGTGGAAAGATATATCTGGAACAAGTGAAAGCATAGCGAATATTAAGCCCGACGAGACCGACCTGGAAATAAGGAACAAAACTGTATAAAAAAATATAAAAATACGGAATTAATAAAAACGATAACATTACCAGGCTTTCGTTTTGTTTATTATAACTAAAATTTTATTCCCTGTAAAGGTCGGGGCTCAAAAAAAAATGACACTAGAAAACTCCTCTACCCCCATCCGATATCTCTAGTCATTTTCGAATGGAACCAACTGGGGTAAAGACGGCGCCAGACAGACAGACACACACACACACGCACACACACACGCTGTTGATATTATTTAAGTCCCCCTTATATATTATACTTTCTCTCTTCTCCCTCCCTTTCTCCCATCCCGCACTTTCGACGAAATTTACTTGTCAACATCCAGGAAACTGGAAGGACTGGTAAGCAAAATAGGTGCCTCTTATCTAAAATTAAAAGTAGGGGGCACGTTTACACGTTTACGATACACAGCTTCCGTCCCTCGCCCCCGGTTGACGAGAAGTGCGATCTTTAATTAATTAATTAATTTGTTAAACGTTTTCTCTTACCTCTTCGCGTGTATCCTTTTTAACAATACAGAAACTTGGCTAATTTTTAACTCGTGTCTGATCACCCGGTTTGGGTGTGAGTGACTTTAGCCTCGGCTACCCAACTACTACAGCCGTGTGACGTCACTTCCTCGCGTGATTCAACCGGGATTAGTCGGTGGAAAGTATGAAAAGGAAGACATCTTTTATTCGACCCAATTTCACGTTACCTGAGCGAGATAGTGAGAGCGTATTATAGAAAATGCACGAAGGTGAACCTTACTTTTAACAATAGGGAAATCTATAAAAAAAGGGCACAGAATATTTTATTGTGTAAATCTTACTGTTTGAGTGCATTCTGTGATGTTAAAACGAAAATAAAGGCCGGTACGCGATGAAGATTTTGTGTGTAAAAAGGCCGAAGTTTATTGTGTTAAATAAATTAATTGATGAACTTGTGCGGTATTTTATGCTCGTGTTATAAGTTTTAAACCAGCTTTATTCAGTGTATAACCTTATTAATCTTTACCTATATGTACACGTTTTATAAACAATTAACATACGTTTTGTTTGTAAACTGCCGTTTTAAATCAGCTTTACGTGCATAACTCGAAACGTCTGTTAGTGCTTAATGCTTATAACGTATTTATGTACCCATATATACATGTACATATTTATTTACATGTTTTGTAACAATAAACACGTGTTTTACATGGAAACTGTTTACATTTGTCGTAAAAGCCAGCTTATTTTATTCGAAAGACAGAGTTTTTCTAATGTGTCTGACGTTTAAACGGAACTATACGGGGTGATAATTAACATAAGAGACGTTCTGCACCTTGCAGGCACGTAAATTTGACAGAACGAACCTAAACAGGCACGAATTTTATAACCAGTTAGCGTGAAAATCTTAATAAATTCATGCACCTCGACTGTTAGAAGATAAATCAACGAAATTTTTTTTTTATTATGTTTAACAACAAAAACGTGCGAATTTAAAAAAAAAACGCCAACCAATTTTAGACAATTACACCGTGCAACCGAGTAGAAAAACGCACCAATTAAACGCCTCTTTCATAACCATTAGCAACACAAGTGATTCATTATCAATAAAAGTTACTCTTCTATGCTAACTGATGCCTAATTCTAACGCGTGGGATAGAAAGAAAGGAAAAAAGAAGTAGGCCAGTGTAAAAAAAAAACAAACACAAACACACAACAGTACGTGGCACAGCTGACGGGGAAGAAAACACAGCATGCACACACATGCACGCGCTTACGTATGAATATGTATGGAAGTCCGTGCGTGATTAACGTCAACAATTGGCATCGCTAAGACAAGAATTTTGGACTTCAACGTTAAACGGGGGTTAACAAAACCTCGCTCGTGCGCTCTGACTGACTGATTTGTAAACTATAATGTGCCAACGACACAGAAAAATCTGCGGATATGCAACACACTTTCCAATGTAGTTTAAACATGCGAATTCTTTCTATTTTTCCAAACAAAGGGATGGTTAACGGACAATACTCGCCACGTGACTAGCTACATTTAAGCCATATTTAGACAATTAGCCCCGTTTGAATCGCGTTCCGTCCTTTAATAATAACAAAAAAAAAAAAAAAATATTGTTTGTATATAAAATAATGACGTAAAAATCCCATTATCGGGATGCTGACTGGATTTAATAAAGGGGTCTTTGACCTTGAACGATGCCTAATTAGCATAAATCCCTGCAAATCTATCCACAGGGGTGTATTTTATGTAATTTATAACCGTTAAATCATGAAAGTGGGATCACTTTCGAGGAAGGTCACGGGGGTAAGTCATTAGAGGTGATAAGAATCAGTTACTTTGTCAATAATGCCTGGTTAATATGTAAATTGGCACGCCTTGAAGTAGTTTCAGCAAGTAGACAAAGCACGCGTGTCAAGGGACATGTACTGTACTGTACGTGTTTACACTCCATACGAAATTTTACCTAATTCCCTTATTGCTACTAAAAGGAACGTTGAAAACACTGGATTATTGATACAACAGGATACGCCATAAATGAGGAAATGATCAAGATACAGCAGGATTTTTCTCCCACAGAAGGCAATATCCTATCAATAGGTGTGGGAAGAAATCAATAACGAGTGAAGCAAACTGGACACCCCCTGTTACGCCATTGATTAAAGCATTAGCTTGTAACATAAACGTTACCCTTCTTTTTACGTGGGGGGATGCTATCAACGTCCTGAACGTTAAAATTATCGATCTTGCTCCCTTACGTCGGGCTAATGTGACCGCGTGACGAATTATTACGCCATTAAAATTGCTTGTACCGTCGTGAGAGATAAATAACAACGATAATTATACATCGAAACAGATGATAATTGTGCGAGTAAACACACATCAATCGTTAATTATACGGAGCTAAGTCAATCTAAAATTAATGTTAACTATTATATGTGACTTAGGGAGCGACCCCCTAATAAAATAAACTGGAATTGAAGTGTGTATAAAACTCTTCTGTAGGTCCCAGTGGCTTGAATTTGATTGTTAAATTCTGACCAATTCGTCACACAAAGCGGCCTGAAGTTTATTGTGTACGTTGTGTGACGGTGTACAAATAAATACATGGAACGAAACAAATTAATGAAACACATACGAAATGAAACACAGTCGGTTAACTGTGTTTCATTTCGTATGTTTCGAGTATTGTTGCGGATATGAATCGTAAAATAATTTTGTTAGTGTCGTAATCAGTGTGAGGGTGGCCCAAAATTCACTTAACCGATGTACGAATCAAACGAAAGGTATCTTACGTTGAGTGGTTTGAAGAAGAAAATTTAAAAAAAAAACGAAGGTGGCTCAATAGTCAGTTAACTGTTGTAATAGAACACCGATTCGCTTTTTACAACAGTCAAGTGACTTTTGAGCCACCTTGTAATTTTTTTAAAATTTTCCTCTCCAAACCACAGGGATCCTTCGTCTGATTCGAACACGGGTAAACTGACTTTTGGGCCACCCTATATTTATACTGTGTATAAACAAAATATCTCAGAATCCTCACGAGTTTATAATTTTTCTAATGAAAAACAATTTAGATAATAGATAGCCCGTGTTATAAAAGAACGAAAGGTGATTAAAATCGTTTTCAACCCCCCCTACGAAAATATAATTTTAATATATTTTTTAAAAATCATTTTACATCATTAAATTTTACGCCGCGTAATTAATTAAACGGCATTTATGTAGTGAGCAGCTTATTAATTAACGACGAGACCCTTCCACATCCCATCTAGTGTAACTGAGAGGAGAAATGATCTTGAAGAGTACATTTTCCAACCTGTTGACGTATCCGACTTCTTCATAATTATGTAAAGTGTACAGCTTTACGATTGTCGCCGGTCTAACTTTGCATAATTAGAGACAGAATCGCGAGTAAACCTATAGGGTGGTCCGAAACTCAGTTAACCCACGTTTAGTTTCGTGTATTCCGGGTAGAATTGTCGCTACAGATGGCATACTGAATTCGTTGAAGCGCTGTAATCGCTGTATTGAAGAACGGTTAACTAACTTTTGGTTCACCCTGCGTGTCTAAACAATTTCTATAATTTTACTAAAATAAATACTCCTCAAAACACAAACAAAACAGTTAAACTCCCCGAATATTCTCTCATTCTGTACAACTTCCAAAAGTCTATAATAATAATAATAATAATAATAATTCTAAATATTTACAAGAGCGTGAAAAATGTGATATTTACAAGTGTGATTATGATTTTGTCCTTTATTTTATTGTGTTAAAGAGTTAAAAAATAGCCTTTTAGATGCGTAATTGTGATCAAAATATATAAAAACTTTAGATTTTGTACTGTAATATAACAAAAATTACCCGGGGAGAGTTTTTGTCGAGGGTATTTTAACGCTCACTCCTTCTGGAAATTGTCTAGAAAAATAATTTCTAAAGGAGTCAGGACCGAAATACAATTACTGGTAGAATATTACTCCAATTCATATAAGGATAAGTCCCAAAATAAGATATTTATGTATTCATTCCTTATAGAAAAAGACAGTTTCTAGAAGGAACAAGCATTTCTGCAGGTATAAACACCTTACATAAAATAGAAAACAAATACAAACGTAAGATATTTATGTATTTATTCCTTCTAGAACTTATCATTCTAGACAATTTCTGGAAGGAACAGGCAAATAGAACACGTCGATTTTCGATCCTCACCCGTGTATTACGATAGTTATTTCATCGTAATTGTTCGAAAACGACTGCGACGACGTTCTAAACAGCAATTTCTGTTAACAAAAACAAAAACTGAGAGTATAAAATTACAATTGGAGCATTCTAAATCGACACTTCTAAGAACAATAGGGAATTCAGCTACTCAAAAAGATAAATTTAAATAAAAAAAAAAAAACAAAAAATGGAGCGCGGCAACAGCGCATTAAACACGATACCCTTTGCATTACGAAAGTTTAAAGGTAACAGGATATTAGACATAACTCTGTGTTTTCCTATTTAAAAAATTTTATTTATTGCTTAATTATAGAAAATATACAGTATATAACAAACAAAGATATTAAACTTTGAAAACTGCGCGGTGATAAATTATAATTTGTAATTATTAAGCGAGGAAAGGAAACAAATAATCAGCTTTGTAATTAAATACACAGTGTCTTATATTATTATTATTATTTAGTACCCGAAGAATGCGTTTTTTTGGGGGGGGGGGAAATTAATGAGGTGTGGCAAATTATTGCGTATTGTAAATTGATACGTCATTACTAGTTCGAAGGGTTGAACGTTTCTTATTAAAATATAAAACTTTTATGGCACATACTTAATGAAGAAAATTACCCAGATATATAACACAGGGAAAGTATGGCGATTGCTCAAAAAAATCACCCCCAGATTTTTAATTTTTGGACTCAGAGACGTTGAAACGTCCATAAATTCAAAAAAGTTGGGGTGTTTTTCTGTATGTTGGTGTTGCTGTCAGTGTGTTGTGTGGAGGAGGGGCGCGGTTTTGTTCACCCAATTTAAAGCTAAATAACTCCTGTTCCATTTGTCAAAAATTTCTAAACTTTCGCATGGAGGTTTGTGCATTGGAGGGATTGATGATATTAAATTTTGGTGGTTAAAGGTCGAGGGGATGGGAAGATAGAGGAGGTCACGTGTCGTATCTCGTTATTAGCATTTACATTATTTTTATAACTCATCTCTATCCTCATTTTACCACTTCATAATAATTAATAATACAAAAAGTGTTCTAATCAAATATCGTAACAGATGGCGCCACACACAAATTTAACTTTTTTTGCCGGGAAAATTACTTGATTTTTTTTAGTCGACGACTTTATTTAGTGTACTGAAAACCCGTGACGTTATATAGTAGATCTCGACCCCTTAGTTGGGATGTGGTAAAGCGTGGTCCATTTTACAGAAGTTGTGTCGTTTGTCGTAAAATTGCGATTTATTTTGTTTTAAAAAATGGTGTTAATTGTTTACTTGATTGCTAAAGCATTGAAAATGAAGTATCACCAGCATAATTGTTATAAAATGTATTAAAAAATTTACGGTTACGTATGAAAAATTGTGCCAAGAGAATTTATAAGCTACTTTACCGTTTAGAAATAATCTTTTAGACAATTTCTAAAGGTGATAAACACCAAAATAAACAGGAAAGTAACTTATTTTGGCATTTATTCCTTCTGTCTAAAAGACAATATAGGAATGTAAAAATAGTGAAGTAATTACAAAGAAGATAAAAATTTGCAGATTATAATAGCTTTATAACCCCCAAACTATCTACCTGTTATAATAATAATACTTAAAATACTGTTTATCTGTTTATAACTTATACATTATAATTTTTACCTCGATTCTTTTAAGGAATAATTCTTTCCAAAGTAACAAATCCACTTCATCGTAAATACCGAAAAATCGTTTTATGATCTGTGGAAAAGTCTTTAATAAAGATTCCCGAGTGGCAGGAAAATCATCATCGATTACTTTCTCTTCTTTACCAATCGATGGCTTATCTTTATCCATTTTCAATCGAATTTCACACTCCTACAATGATAAATTCTATGAATTAAACAATAGAAAACATATGGATAATTTGATTTTATTACTAAATTAAGTTTAATCTATTGAAAAATTCGTGTTTATGTTACGTTTCAATAGGCTATTAAAGTGTTTTTAATGAAGACATCTTTAAAGTTTCTTAGATAAAAAGATTGTAATTGAGAGTTTGAGGTCGCAGGTCATGGTTTAACAACATTTACACTGGATATCCTTAGTTATTTTTTAAGTAAGGACGTCTGAAAGGATACATTAGTATTAGGTTACTCATAATGTTTTTTTGTCGTTCTTTTCTTCATCGAAACCCATTGTTTTTAAGAAGAAATTTTGTAAAATTTCCTTGAAATAATTCTATTTAAATGTTCCCATTTTCAATAACCCAAAATCTTTAAAGGAAATTTATTTTTCATGCATGTATGGCACTGTTTCTTTGTATTATTTATAAATAATTTGGTAAACAATTTTGTTGGACTGTACATAATTTATTATGACTTTCGTCATATATTTATAATTTTTAGCGCTGTTAATCTAGGTTAAGCGCAACTATCTAAACTCGAGTAGAAAAGCGAAAATTAGAAAAGCATTTTCACTCCAAGTGTTAGTGTTTTCACTATAAAATTCGAGTTGTACAGCCATTCGTAAATCGTCTTCGGAGCAGAGATTTTCCTAAAAATAAAGCAAGAAAACCATAAGTAATAACTGAGTTTTTGTTTTTAATATTTTTGTTCATTTACACTTTGAAGGCGAGTCCAAAAAGTGAAAGAAATTCCGAATGTTTTGTAGTATTTATGCTTATTTTTGTAGCAATTTACGCCCTTAAAATGAAGATTTTTTTTTAGCTTTTATGGAACAATTTATGCTCTTAAAATGAGGATTTTTACGATTTATTTTGCATTTTTAACTTTTTTTTTTTTTTTTTTGGAGAAATTTATGCCTTAAAGACAAAATACAAACAGCAAAAACTCAAATTATTTGCAGGTTTCTTAGCATTTTTAACATTCATACTCTCCGAAGATGAGCCAACAAGGCTGTAAAGAACTTGAATTTTAAATATTTCACTCCAAGAAAGCATAGTTTCTTTTATATTTCAGATTAAGTACACTTTTACATTTAATTTAAATCACCCTTTATTAAATACATAATAAATAATTTAGTCAATTTATCTCATAGTTTTCAATTCAACTGTTGAAAGAGCCAACACAATTAAGGTTATCCGACATCATAAATTACATCACAATTGCATTTTTGCAATCCTATTAATTAATATCCTAAATTCGTAATTTTAGTTTTAAAAATATTTTTAAGATTCTATCGTAAACAATAACGTTATGAAATATTTAAATCCAACAATGTACTTTTGAAATTAAGAAAATGTTCCATTTTTTTTTATCATTTTTTAATACTAAAAGTGTAAAATGAATATATTGTACTTTATAAAATGATAATTAAACATTAAAAGTGAGAAATGAAAGTATTAAAAAAAATCCAGCAACGAGTTGCTTGACTTTCCGGAAACTTTTAGTAGCGCCATCTGTTGCGATATTTTATTTAAAAAGTTTTTTTTTATTATTTTAATTATTATAAAATGACAAAAAGCTTAATTCTGACGGCAGGGATAGATTTTATAAAATATTCTAAATACTAATAACTAGTAAAATCGCCATTAAGTCCGACCCTACACCAGTACGACACACGATCTGCTTTATTTTTCCATCCCGTTGACCTTTAACCACCAAAATTTAATAGCAGCAATCCGCTTAATACATAAACCTCCCTGCAAAATTTCAGAGACGTTCGACAAAAAGCACAGGAGTTATTAAGCTTCAAATAGAATGAACGAAATCGTGCACACCCCACACACGCTGACATTCATGCATGCAAAGCCTCCCGCCCACCAGTGGCCGAGCGGTTTTCGCACCCTGAACACTGGGAGTGGGTTCACGCCTCGCTCGGACGGGCTGGCCATGTGGAGTTTTCCGGATTTTCTCCACATCTGTAACACCTAAATAGGGGCCAGTTTACCTTTAANTTCATGCATGCAAAGCCTCCCGCCCACCAGTGGCCGAGCGGTTTTCGCACCCTGAACACTGGGAGTGGGTTCACGCCTCGCTCGGACGGGCTGGCCACGTGGAGTTTTCCGGATTTTCTCCACATCTGTAACACCTAAATAGGGGCCAGTTTCCCTTTAAAAAAAAAAAAAACCTCCCGGAAGGCATCGCCCAAGTGTTTCGTTGCAATAACCAGAGTCGGTAGATTAACTGGTCTTTCGACTAATAGTTCAAACTTAGCTAGAGACAATATTTGCCGCTAGTCGGCGCCACTGTTAGCAGGAGATCGTTGTTCTTGCTAGGTATATACTGAAGTCAGTGATTTTGACCTATAATAATTGNAGCAAAAAACCTATATGAAATATTTTATACAGTATAAGAAGAAGAAGCCCCTATTTAGGTGTTACATACGTGAAAAACCCAGAAAACTCACGTGGCCAGCCCGTCCGAACCCATGACCGAACTCGCAGTGTTCAGGGAACAAAGGTCGCTTGGCCACCGGTGGGCCTTAAGCTTCTAATACTGCAACACATAATATGTCATTTTATTTAAATCGCAATTTCTTTGTTTATTCAATATTTATTCTGTTTTGGGCAGTGTTAATACAGTATATGCTTATATTACATATAAAGATATTATAGATACAATCAATACTGTAGAATTGTGTATAACAGGTTCTTTCTACACGAATGCAACTAATGTGATTCTTCAAATGGGAAATTTATACATACATCAGTGCATAAAACTTCAACACAAATGCAGCTTTGAATGAGACGTTTCGAAACCTTAATAGAACTGTAGACTAGGGTTTCTCATTTTCCGGTATTTTGCTTGTCCCGGGATCCCGGGATAAAAGTGAACTGTTTCCCGAGATCCCGGGAAATCCCGGGATAGAATTAATTATTTTTAAGGTATACAAAATATCTTGAAATCAAATGATATAATTATTTTCCATTTTTTAAAGTAATTTTAAAGTTTTGTAACCTCCAAAATCATATTAATAATGCTGTGTTAGGTCTATAGGCCTATAATAAAAATTACCTTTAAATAACGTAGAAATTTTCACAAATAGAAAAAAATTAATTAAAGTTTGCTGGAAACTGCATACAACAACAACAAAAAAAATGTTTTGAATTGAGTTAAAAATTAAAAAAATGAACTTCTAATTTAGAAGGTAATTTTCGTTTTTTAAATAAAATATAATACAAAATATTGCAAACTTTTATAAGATTTTAAAAAGCAAAGATGGTCAATACTCCGATAACTCACTCTAATTCTTATTTTAGTAATGAAAAGTCTTGCCACCGAGAATGCCCTTTCCGATTCAATTGATGTGATTGGAATAGTGTTTAATGCATTTAAGAGAAGACAGATATTATGTGTTTTTTCACATGTAGCCTGGAAGCTTTCGAGTTCGTTTTCGAGATTGTAGTACTTCTTTCGCTCTCTAGTATTCTTGATTTGTCTACCTTGGCTGCTTTAATAGCGGCATCAAGCTTAGAGCTCGATAATTCGGCAATTCATTTGGCTTTAATAATCAGGTTTATGAAGAAAAACTTCATACTTGCAGACTTTGTACTCGTTTGTATCCTTGCCCAATTTGCACAATCTGGCGTCAGGCATTTATTGAAGCTACTGGGCATGGTTAAAACTCAAGACAGCGTAAGCACAATTATTCCAGATATTACAGGTTCCGACAAGTAAAGAATTTTTATAGTCATGCCACAAATAAGCTATATATTGATTATTGACCATTTGTGACATGCTATAACGAGCAAAAATTTAAAAAAACTAATAGGTAGGTTTAAAATTAATAAATACAAATGTATTCTGGCAGTGAATGAGTTAATTATGCTTTCTATTTGCAAAACTCCTCAACCTTAACACAAAATAAGAAAAAAAGTGAATTTTTAAGAAATTTGCGGGATTTCCCGGGATAAGAAAAATTTCCCGGGTTAAAAAAACAACCGGGATCCCGGAATCCCGTTTCAGAAACCCTACTGTAGACCCAATGCCAAAGGAATAAAAAAGTCAAAAGAATCAATGACTCTTCGCGAAATATAGCGAAGGGTTTCGTGTAGACCAGTGTTTCCCAACCTTTTTTGTGCTATGTCCCATCTAAGCCTGTCTAAAATTCTTATGCCCCCCTAACATATACAGCGTCTATACGGTTAACTCCAGACGAGTCCATTTTCGAATTGCCCCCTTAATGATCCAATTGCTACCCAGTGGGGCATGGGTCCCACGTTGGGAAACACTGGTGTAGACCATAGGTTGAATCAATGGTCGAAGGGTTACATCTACATCATTGATTTCACTTTACTAGAGACGGAACTGATAAAACACAAAACGCCATTACAACGACTACTTCCGGGGTATCTACATACTCTATACTGTACACTACATTTATATTTGGAATGTGGTAGTAGTGTAGGTGTAGTATATTGGTATCATTAGTATAGAGTATATAGGTAGCCCGGAAGTAGTCGTTGCAAATGGAATTTTTCGTGTTTTATGAGTGTTTAACCGTCTCTAGTAAAGTGGAAAACAGCTGATTTCTAAGGATCTTGCGAAAGGTCATACGTACTGTACACCAACGGTTCCTTTGACTTTTTTACTCCTATAGACACGTGACCATCAACTCATTCAAACCTGCAATTTAGCAAAAAACCTATATGAAATATTTTATACAGTATAAATAATCAATATATTTCCATTTAAAATAAATTAAATGTTTATAAAATTAAGTTTTTAATCAATAATAATTTATAAATTGTGGAATTTTTTTATAAGATAGTATTTCAAAATTAGGCCTACTTTTAGAATAACTTTTTACATAAATTCTGCAAATTAAATATAATTTCATAAATGTTAACTATTTAGAACTATTTAAACGTAAATCTTAATATTTAATAAACCTAAATATGTTCTTAAATTCATAAAAACCAAAAAATTTACTTAACTACTTTCAAAATTCAAAATGGCGACTCTTAGTTTACAAAACTGCCGTTAGGATTATTTTTTTTCCTTTTTATTTTGTCCCATAATTAAAATAACTGTTAATTAATTTATTAATATTTTCAATAATTAATAATTAAGTTATTTAAATAAATATTATTTTATAATAACTGGATAATACCTTGATAGGTGACCTAACTAATTATTTTTATAAGAGTAATAAAAATTAAAAAAAATTATTAATATACTAAAAATTAAATGCTTATTTATAAGTTATAATTAATTATTAAAATATTTAATAATTCTCATGTTACTAATTTATTAAATGTATTGTTAATTTTAAAAACTAGAGGGCGTTAGAACGGGTGTAAACAATGGCATGCTGTCGACATGTTGATTGCTTTCGGTGTCGTTAAAATTGATTAACATAAATGAATTTTAAGATGTAATTCATGGCTGCGATTGAATAATAACCGATTCTTAATAATGTACAATGTAAATATTATAAGTTATTACATTATAAGTTATGTGAATTGTTTTAAAAGGAAGAATTGTGAAAAATAGATCTATCAAGTGAGAGAATGCTAACAATGCAACTATTGAGAGCTTTATAATGTGCTCAAGTTACTAAGAATATAATATAAAGAACCTCAAAACAATAATATAAAGAGTAAATTGCTAGGTGCATAGTTTAATGCTTCATATAATTAATGACAAAGTCAAAATGAGTGTCAAAAGAAAAGTAACCTCTAATTCAAATGTGTCTGATGCTTCTGTAAGTAAGAGTCCATATTTCACAAACAATGAGACTGAATCTGCAAGTATACAGTTAAAAAACAATGCTTCCAGACTAAAAGATTCTTTTTATAATATTCCATGTGAAGACTTGGCAAAAAAATTACTTGGAAAGGTGATATGTAGGAAACTGGATACTGGAGAAGTGTTGAAAGGAAAGATTGTAGAGACGGAAAGTTATGTCGGTGTTGAAGACAAATCCTGTCATTCATATAAAGGGAAGAAGACGCAGAGGAACGAAGCCATGTTTATGAAACCTGGCACGGCTTACGTCTATACGATTTATGGAATGTACTATTGTCTCAATATTTCGAGTGACGGAGAAGGTGCTGCTGTTTTAATAAGATCGCTAGAGCCCTTATGGGGATTCGAGACCATGAGAGCTTACCGGACTAAAAAGAGACCGAACGGAAAAGAATTAAAAAATAAAGAATTATGCAACGGACCCTCTAAATTATGCATGGCTTTAGATGTGACAAAACTATTAAATAAAGATGACATGACCGTTAGTGATAGACTATGGGCGGAAGACTGCGAAGACATAGGTGACGAGGACATCGTTCGGAGTAAACGCATTGGGATCGATAGTGCTGGAGAGGAATGGGCAAATAAATTCCTTAGATTTTATATTAGGAATAATATATATGTCAGTGTTAGAGATAAGAAAGCAGAAATGTGACAAGCACATTTACTTTCTGAATTTTGAATATCTGTTGGAAATTTGGAATCAATGTTTGTATTTAGTATTTAATTAATGAAGTGAGAGTATTGAAAAATAACGAAGACCTATATTAATTATTATAGCTTTCTTTATAATAAACTTTAAACATAAAATACAAAGGTAAAAATATAATTTATGTATATAATTTAAAAACTGATTAAAAGGTGTTAACATCTTTTAATCAGTTGACAGGATATATTAATGAATGTATGTAAAATGTAGCATATTTTGCTACATACTTTAATCATACTNTGTTGGGAAAGTTAAGCAACTCATTGGATTTTGTTTCTTTGAGGTTCAGGGGTCTCAAAACGTCAGAATTTGCAAAATCCTTAATGCCTAACTTAATTAATCTATCAAGTGTACCAGATTTTTCCTTAGTCTGTGAGTTATTTAAGTTAAAATTTGTTTGTAGGGGAAGGTGGGGAAAAATGAGAACGTTAAGGTTTGAAAAGTCATAAGATGGCAACCACTTTGATGAGAACAATAATTTTTTTATTCTCACCAACTACAACATGTGGTAATATATGATAAAAAATTTAATTTTTGAAAAACGTTTTTAAAAACAAGAAAATTTAATATTTTAAATTATATGTAAATGCACCATCTTGCCCCACCCATGGGGTAAGATGGGGTATTATTTTTATATACAGGAAGGACAAATTAAAATGGTTAAACTGTCGTTTTCTTCAATATTGGCACAAAAACAGTGTGCCCACTTATCACAACAGCTACATTTAGCCCAACTCTCTGTAGATACAGAGTATAACCCTCCACAATAGAGGCATTCTGTGACATTTGTCTTTTTCTTGTTAGGCCTACCCTTGCTGAAGGGGCCTGTTTGTCGTCTCTGCAGCAATAAAGTCTGCCTCCAAAAATACTTTTGGATTCATAGGCTATATTCCTATATCAACCTGGGGCTAGACGGGTACCTCATCTTGCCCCAACATACACTTTTCACACTTACTGCAAACACAGGTAAACTTCATTTCAAAACTAAACAATTACAGTCTTAAAGGTTACTTCGAATACCATAATATCTTCATGTAAAAGGTAATGTAAAAGTTCACAATGATACTTACTTTGTAGAAACTTTGTAGCGGGCATAAAATTAGATGAAGTATTGCCGAAACGTGGAAAACTGTCTTGCTTCCAAACAAAGAGAGCGATTTGGATGTTCTCTTGTCCCATGATACCTTTCGAGGTTGACGTTCAGTTCCCAAATAACAGCTAGATGAAATCACATTAACCACAAATAAACAGACGTTCCCGTCTTACACCATGACCCCATCTTGCACTACCTTCCCCTATGTATGTGATTTTAAAGTGTAATTTAATCTGTTCTCCTTCATAAGAAGCTTACGCTCGGATAATATAGATAAATATATATACTTCGTGTTTAAAAGAAATTCCTCACTTGACTTTTTGATTCATAAGTTCATATAATTTCATTTTATTGGAAATAATTCATTCTATTCGCTAATTATAATCGAAAAAAATGTTTAATATGGACACTTAGAACTTATGTATACAAAATACAGGGTGGCCCAAAAGTTAATTACCTGCTTCGAAGTATAATAAAATTCTTCGTGCACCTTAAACGGTTTATAACCTTATAGATTTCTTATTGTTTTAATGTTAAGTTACTGCATTTTTAAAAATTGTATTGATATGAGTAACGCTTACTTAACTGAGCTATAAGCCACCCTGTCTATAGCAGCCTACCTGCTATAAATTTGCAAATTTATGTAGCATTTTAAACTGTAAAAAGTATAAACCTTTTTATAAACTGTATACGACTTATTCATGAAATTCTTTAGCCTCTTGTATAATTAAGAATTCCTCCTTCTAAATCCCTTTAAAAATCAACATACAGTATTCTATTCATTCAAATCTCGATATAACGCCCCAACCAATGCAAAATCGCGTAAAGCGCTTATAAATACAGGTACACGTGTACCGCTCTTCCTCGTAAATATTACGTAGAGAACCCTTCAGTATCTGTAAATTATTATGATAAATATATAATTCTTGTATTTTTAATAACAATTTTATCGCTAAATCACAAGACTTAAACTTCCAAACTGAAACTTATTGTACAAACAAATGATAGCGCTAAATCGAAGTTTGCATTTACACAGTTTTTCACTGGAATATTTCATTTAATCTTTACGAATTTATTGCTATTTTCCATCAGAAAATAAATTTCGCAATATGAAATGTGACGTCAAAATGAGATTTCTTGTAGAAAAAATTTCATCAGAATTCAGGGTCCAACGACAAGGACAAACGACAAAAACGGAAATCGAACCGACAATCTCAACAACCACGATAGAGAGAAACGGGAAAAACGAAATGAATTATTTACCATTATGGATTGCGCAGTTGATATTTCAGTTATTTAAATCTTCATTTTCTCCTTTTTCCGATATTACAATTATGCGCACTGAATGATTAATAAATTAACAGCTTAATCGAATTCGTATTTGCTTGTATTCGAGCTTTCAAAATAATAAAATTATTTTTAATAACTTTTATTCATTACAATTTTACTACAATTTTCCTGAGGTCATCCATATAAGTTTCGTGTGTTTGCCACTAGAGGCGCCATTACGTTAGTACTATTTTGAAAAATCATTTCGTTTATTTTTTCAACCATTGTAGGTGACTTTTTATTATTTTTTCATTAAAAATTAACAATGCATTTTTATTTTATTAATATATTATTAAGGTTTTCAACTTCTAATCTGCATTTGAATATTATTCAGATATTCACTAACGTTAATGTTTAAAAATCTGTTAGAAATACACTGTGAAAGGTCTGAAGATAACAGGAGCCCATCAATGACTGAGTGGATAAAACCGCTAAACACTAGTTGTTAGGTGATGGGTTCGCGCCTCGCCAATAGGCTGGCTACGTGGAGTTTTCCGAATTTCCTTCACGTTAGTAACGTCTAAATACAAGCCAATTTCGCATAGAAAAATTTCCGGGAGGCATCCCCTTCGGCAGATCGCCCATGTGTTATGTTGAAAAACAAAACAAAATTGAAGGTAACAAGCAACAACAACGCTAACCTTTTTAACAATAAAGGACACAAAAAGCAATTATACCAACCAAGAAAAAAAAACGTGAAATTTTCCGTGTTTTCTACACATCTGTAACGCCTGAATAGGGGCCGGTTTCCCTTAAAAAGACCTCCCGGAAAGCATTATTCCCCCGCGCGCGTATGGCCATTCCATCTATAAGGCCGGTAATCGGACGCATGCGTCCACATTCTCGAAGCAAAAGCACAGGCCGCTTCATCTAACCACCAGGAGGCATATTTCGGATAAAGAGCCAACAAACCTAGAGTTTCCATATGAACCCGGATAGAAGACAAGAAAAAATAAACATTGATAATGTATGGGATGACAAAGAGACAGAATATATCAGTTATTTAAAAAAAAGTTGAATTTCTGTCTCGTCACCATCCCACACGTTATCAATGTTTTTGGATTGATATATTTATGTGTTTCTTCATCATAATTATTAAGAGATGATTTTTGTACATTTGAAATGATGTTATGATTTTATTTGTCATTATCTTCTAGAACTTGGGTGTAGATCTCCTGTTGAAGATTCTGTTAACTATAATTATTAAATTACAGTAGACCCCGCTATAACACTGTTGATAATTCCGTGTTATATGAATTCCATGTTGTACGAGTCACTTAGATTTTACAAATACGTATGCAAGACTGTGAACGGCTCACGTATTTGTAAAATCTAAGTGACTCGTACAACGTGGAATTCATATAAAACAGAATTATCAACAGTGTTATAGGGGGTCTACTGTATAGTTAACAATCTTCAGCACGAGTTATGAACATAAATAAACAAACTCATATTCAAAGTCCATAGATATAATCTGTAAAAATATCTCCTTATTTATGTTACCGATTAAAACCAATTTAAAATATTATTATTTTGACTACTTGGATATATCAACTTTCACGGAAATATAGTGCAGAAATTTAACATAAAAAATAATGACTATCTAGTACAGTGGTTCTCAACCGGGGGTACATGTACCCCTAGGGGTACGAGAGTAAATCAAAGGGGTACATCTATCTTTCATTATAAAATGGCGTATGTTAATCAATTTGCTGTAAATTATTAACACAAGAAACAAGAAATAACAAAAACTTGCTTCAAAATATCCCAGTGTGAACACCGATTTCATTTTTAACAGTCTAAACCAGTGATGGGCAAACTACGGCCCGCGGGCCAGATGCGGCCCCCTGAAATGTTCTATCCGGCCCGCGCGACATTATTCCTAATCTGACGAGTAAAAAAGAATACAGGCTGTGGTGGTTGATGCACCACTTAACTTGAGTGTTCGTTGATTATATAAAATAACCGAAGCTTTATATCTCACCATGAAAGTTTATTTACAATCATGTACAAAATTTTGTTTTACACTTATTGAGTAAAAGCTCGATCGGTTACAAGCATGCTTCGGTACAGAACATCCACTCGTCGTGCGTAGCGTAGCCGAAAGAGAGAAAAAGAAATATGGCGGACGGCCTGCACATGTTTTTATAGCGCCACCTGGATTTTCAGATGCAGCGCTAGGTTACAATTATATTGGCCCGCCTAAAGTTTTCTTCTTTTCCTTTGGCCCGCTCTTTAAAAAGTTTGCCCATCACTG